TAAGGAATATAGCTAAGGATACGGAAAGTAATTAGGAGGATAATAGTAAAGTAATATCCCTACCAGAGATATAGTAGTAGTACCGAGTATTAGATAGAGTTCGTAAGCGTTTAAGATTACTTAATAGATATAAGACGTAGAATATATAGTTTAGTTCGTTTAATTTATCTATTTATTTAAATATTTCATTTTAATTCAGTACTTTTAGTATAATTAAAGCTAACTAAGTAGACCTACGAATACTATAAGACTATAAGTAAGATACTCAAAAATACCGCCAAAATCTACACAATTTATACACCTCGTGACCTACTGATATTTGTATTATTTTACGACCCTGAGGGGAGGGTCGTAGCCCTGAGGGTCGGGTCCCAGCATCAACGACCCTCCCCTCCTAGAGGGTCAGGGTCGGGACTCACGACCCAGGAACCTCCGTAGTCCGGGTCGCGGTCCGGGTCGTCAGGGTGACCTGCGGGTCGTGGCGAGGTCTATTTAGCTATCGGTTTAGGGATAAAATACTATTAAGAAATAAAGTTTTATTTTAGTTAGATAGAATAAGTTAATCTAGAACTTACTAGTAAAGATACTACTATAATTAGAAATAATTCCTTCCTATAGTCCGAAGACTAGCTGGATCTTATTATAGTATAGCTCCGTAAGTTATACTATATTAATAGTTATATATACTAGGAAGAATTTTATAAATTTCGTAAAATAGTCTATAATAACTAGGATTATATCGATCTTATTTCTCTTATAAATCGTTAGCAGGAAACCTATAATAAAGTCTATAAAGGAGTCTTACTATAGTTAGAAAGGGATTAGTAGCGGCTTTAAGGTTCTATACTTTCGATATTTAGGAGATATAGTTCCTTAGTAGACTAGATAGAACTTAATATATTTATCGATATACTTATAGATCTATCTTTAGTAGTACTTCCGATTTAAGAGTTTAATAGTATAGTTTCGTCTAAAGTATCTATCTATAACTAGATTAATATAGTATAGATATACTAATTCTTATTTTAATATTTTATCTATTAGGATATAAAGTTGTTTCTTATAGTATACTATACTATCGGGATCGACTAACTAGATCCTAACTCCTAGGATTTTCTCTCTAGGATTCTAAGATTAGACTATAAAGATCTTCTAATATAATTATAATATAGGTACTTTCGCTTTTATATATATTCTTTACTATTTTATATTATAAGCTTTAGATATAATCTAACTCTTATCTCTAGATATCTAAAGACCTATCTAGGATTCTATCTATCTCTATATCGGATATTAATTTAGTTTTTAATTTATATAGATTAGCTAGTACTATCTATATTACCACCTCTTCCTAATAGATTACTATCCTAGCTCCTATTTAGTTATATAATAGATTTAAGAGAGTAGTATTTAATATATCTCTTAAAGTAGGCTTTACTATCCTTAAAGATATATCTATAAGGTATTTTTTTATATATAGTATAGAATAATAAAGTTAAATATCGAAAGGATTATATATTATCGCGCTTAGTAACTATATAGTTTAGGATTCTATATAAAGAAATATAGGTTATTATAGTTAGAAAAGACCTTAATTCGGTACTAGGATTCCTCTAGATAGTATTACTATATCTTAAAGGAATATATAATAGTAAAAAGTTCTTAATCTCTAGTAGTATATTAACTTTCGGTATTAGAGAACTTATAAGACTAAAATATAACTAGATACTAGATTTCCTTTTGATCTAGTTATATTAGGATACTAGCTATTTCCTACTAAGATATATCTATCTCGAGTTTAATTTTCTAGTCGGGATCGAAATATCGGAGAACTAGTACTATTTTAAAGGCCTAAATTAATTAGCAGAATATAGCTACTTTGTAGGCTTTAAGTTCGAAAGCTCCTAGTTATTAGCTATTTATTATTCCCTTCGTAAGATCGGTAAGAGATTTTATAATACTAGAGTAATTATAGATAAAGTATCGATAGGAATTATAAAATCCGAGGAAGGATTAGATCTCGCGGATAGTAGTTAGTTAGGGCTATTTTCGGATAGCTTCTACTCTAGATTTATCTATTATTACTCTTATAGAGCTTACTATATAGCTAAGGAATTCTATATATTCCTTATAGAATATATACTTTAATAGATAGATATAGAGTTTATACTAATAAAGTCTTTCTAGGATAAGATAGATATATTCTATATAGGAATCCTAGTTAGAAGAAAAGATTAGGATATTATCTAAGTAGACTATATAGAAGATATCTATATATTCTTATAATATAATATAGATATAATTTGAGAATATAGTAGATATATTTATAAGTCTAAATAGTATTACTATATATTTAAAATAGCTATATTAGATATAGAAGGCTATTTTCTACTTATTACTCTTCTTAATACTAATATAGTAGTAAGCCTCGCGGATATTAACTTTAGAGAAGACTATAGCTCTTATAAGTCTATTAACGATTTCTATAATAAAAGGTAAGAGATAGTAATTCTTTACTAAAATATAATTAAGTCTTCGGTAGTCGATATAAAGATAGAGACTACTATCCTTCTTAAGAATAAAAAGGATAGATATATCTATAGGAATTTTAGATAGTCGGATCCTCCTATTTTTAAGATAAACTCGAATATACTCTTATAATTCTTTTAACTTAGTCCTTAATAATAGATAGATCGGTCTATAGGATAAAGATTTATCTAGGAGTAAATTAATCGTATAGTTAGTCTCTTTATAATATAGTAGGGTCTTAGTCTTCTAGGCTAAATAGAGATCTATAAAGTCTTAGAACTCGGGAGGCTAGGCTTTAATTCCTTCTAGATCTAGTAGTATTTTAGGTTAATCCTTAATAGTATAAGAGGATAGTATACTCGGTTAATTATCTTCGTCGAAGTTAGATACTATCTAGTAGGGAATAATAGCGAAGATATATACTTAGTTATAAAGATATTTTATAAACTAGTAGGGAGAGAGTAACTTAAGATTCCTCCGGTTTACCCTAAAGTACTATTAATATATATCTATATTAAGGATAATTCCTTAGGTATTTAACCTAGATATTCCGAGGAATATAGGAAGTCTATATTTTTATATAACTATATAATAGTCGATAGTCTATATCTAGATAGCGCCCCGGCTATCTATAGCGGTAATTAGGAGTTAATATATATCTTCGGTATTACTAAAATAATCCCGAAAGTCGCGAAGCCCTAGGATATAAAGAGGTATTTAGTTAAGCTTATATATTCTTATAAAATTAAGATTAATTATATTAATACTAGCTCCAGTATCGAGGCTAACTATAACTATATCTTATTAGATCTATATAGCTATCTAGATTATAAAGAGGATCTTTATAATAGACTAGGAAGTTAGAGATATAGAGTCTACTCCGACTTACTATTATTTCCTAGAGAATAAGTTAGCTCCTCTATAATTTCGTTAATTTAGATATTCTAGCTAGATTTTTATTCTTAAGAATAGTTAGAGATATAGTATCCTTTCTTATTATATTAGAAATAAGTAATATATAAGTAATTCTTCCGGTTAGAAGACTAATTATATTAAAATAATATCCTAAGAGTAGTCTAGTTAGAATATATTACCTAATCGGAAGTATTTAAGGATTTCTATTTCTTTAGCGGATCCGATTAGGAGATCGAGGTTATAGGACCCCTATAATACTTCTTAGAGTTATATTTAGCTATATAATCACCTTCTATTCTACTGAAACTATAGCTATCCTAGATATAGATCGCTACCGAAACTATATTAGTTTAGTTATTAGGTAGATTATTCTAGTATAATATCTTAAGTTCGTTTTTAAGAAAACGATAGAGGCTCTATCCGAGAGCTTACTTCTTTTTTTAAAGATATATATAGTTTTCGATTAATTAGAGATAATTATAAAATACTTAGGGATCTTAGTTAGGAAGCTATTAGGTACTATAGTATTTTTCTATAATATTAGTATCGGTAAATCGGTCTCCTCGAATAAACTCTAGAGTCTAATTAATAAAGTTAGACTATATAGGATAGATATAGAGGAATTCGGTCTTCCGATAGTTAGTCTATTAGGCCTATTAGGTAGATTTAAGTATAAAAAACCTAATAGGGATTTAGTATAAATTATTAGCGAAATAGTTAGGACTTATATCGAAGATATACTTAATTTTATTAAGCTACTAGTTATACTATTTAAGGGAGAAGAAGGAGCTTAACTAATAGAAGATATAATTAAGCTTAATCTTTATACCGCGTCGCGGTCGAGATATAACCGGAGGTTCCGGTTCGGTTATATTTTACTAAAGAAATATTATCTCTTATTCTAGTTAGTAGATCCTAGCTTAAAGTAATTCTAGTATACTAGAATCTCCTAGTAAGAGAGGTCCGGGACTAGGTATAGGAGAAGTAGTCTTACTAGTAGAGCTAAGAGAAGTACTAGTAGGGATCCGCGGAGTCAGACTCTTACTAGCTTATAGATTCTAGACTTCCATACGACCTAATATAACCCGGACCTAACCCGGACCTAACCCGGGCTAGGTTAGGTTTTAGGTCGAAGACTCCGACCTAGTGTTAGGTCCGGGTTATAGTTAGGTAACCTAGCCTAGGTCCGGGGCCCTAACTTAGGTTATAAACGTGATATATATACTAAGGGCCCGCGACTATATAAATTATATATTTTCTGCCTATAATATTAAGTATTACCTTTACGACTAAATCTAGTCGATCTTAATATAAGGGTAGGAGGAAACGAGAACGATAAAGGCTAAGGTACTATAAAGAAGAAGAAAGCGTAAGAAGAATAAGATATCTCTATTACAGCCTAAATCTAACTAATAATACTTAAAGATATTATTATCTCGACTCTTACGCTTCCGCCCCGAGGCCTATACCTAGGTATTATTCCTAGGTAGCGGTAGCTAGGCCTTATCTACCATATCTACTATGTCTAGCCCTATCTCGTTATTAATTATAGTATCCTACTTCTTAGTATTACTAATTAGGTCTATCTTAACCTCGTTAAGCTTTTTATCCTTCTCCTTCTTCGTAGCTTCTATTTCCTTATAGGAGAAGAACTTCTTAAGAAGCTTCGCCTCCTACTCTTCTATATTAAACCTTAAAGTATATAGAAATATTATTAACTCTTTAATCGTCTACGATTTTATTCTCCCTAAATAATAATAATAGATATCCCGAGTAGTATTAAAGAGCCGTTTAATACCTATACCTATTATAGGGAAGGAGAGTATATCCCGTATAAGGATAGCGATTACTAGAAAGCTAGTTTAGTACTCTCTCTAGAATAAAAGGGGCGTAATATAAATAGTATCTATTAACTAGTTAGTATAATTTAGTAAAGACTTAGTTTAAACGTACTACTATTAAGATATTAGGTTATTTCGTTAGTAGCTATATTTAGTTATACTATACTTTTATCTAATATCTTATTAAGCTTTAAGCTTAGCCGAGCTACCGATTAAGACCTATCTAAAGACTGGTTAAGAGTTAAAAGTTACTCTTAATATAGAATAAGAGCCTATTAGAAGGACTTACGATAGATATCACGCTATTTCTAATCCTAATCCTTTATAAGGAAGAACTTAAACTTATTTACTAGTACTAGTATCGTACTAACTATATATTATACGCTAGTTAGGAAGGTTTAGAAGGACTTATAAACTCTTTATTAACTATCTGTATGGTATTCGAGGATCTTAAGAGCTAGAGGGGAAAAAGAGAAAGAAGAAGAAACTATAGTAGATCCTATGACGTATGGGCGAAAGTCAATAGTCAACTAGTGGGTTGGTTGACCAGTTCGCAGACGAACTTAGAGAGTAGAGCTATGTGGAGGAGTTAACTAGTTAGCTATAGTGAACTAGTAAGTTCGCTGACCAGTTAGTCGGTAGACTAGTAAGTTAGGGTTAACTAGTAAATCGGTTAGCCAGTTAACGGAGATAGACTTAGAGGATCGAGGAGGAGATCATATAACCGATGTTTGCGTTCATAAGATCGGATAGGTATCTACGCGTTATTAATAGTTAGAGCCTCACGCGTGTATGCGCTAGAGCCTAAGAATTATTTACCTTTCTATTAACTTCTATAGGGGAATCTCCTATCTAGGACTTTCTATAAGGATTCTACCGCTTCCCCGTGGTCCGCCTACGTCGAGTATTTGAGGTAGCACTTCGTCCTCCTTATTTCTTCCTTTCCTTTTTCCCCTTCGTCTTAGTTTCTTTATTACATAGGATATAGTTACTTTACCTTCTTCCTTCTATATATAGGTTCACGTAGCTGTACTGCCTAGCAGTTATAGATCCTAGGTTTTTAATATGGTATATATGGTTCACGGTATCTCCCCTCTGATACTGATTTCTTCTGTAGAAGAAATCTAAGTCCGTAGCTCTCTCATATTCTTAATACTATATAGATATACCCTTAAATAGATATACCCTTAAATATAATTAGTTTATAAGTATTACTTATTAAGCTTCGTCCGACTAGTCTCTAATATATAAAGTATTTATTACTTCTATAGAGCGCGCTTTCGTCGTAGCTACTTTATTAACTACTTAAGGTACTCGAAGAGTTTATTATAAATCTTAAATATATAATACTCTATAACGTCTTAGGTCTTTAATAGCTAAGTTATATAGTTAAAAAATAGCTTAGTAATATAAAGGAGATAGTTAACCTAACGCTACTCCTTATCCTAAAGTAGTATCTCTTCGTAGTTATACTCTGTATAAAAGGACGTAAAGATAGTACGTAGATATTTTATCCGACGAAGTATAAGGAAAGTTAAATTCTATCGAGTTCTTATATCTTAGATAGGTACTAGCTTTACGCTTAATATCTAAAGATTATAGAATATCTCCTGGCGCTAAGGACTTACGTTTATATAGATTACGAGATAGCGGATCTTATTTAAGGTATATAATATCTCTCGCTCTTAGTACTATATATTTAACTAGGCTAGTCTTAATTACTTTTCTGTCTACTTTATTATAGCGGAGTTATTTAGTAGGACTATCTTAATACGATTAAGTAGCTAGTTTAGGCTAAGCTAAATAACGTGAGTAAGGGATAGAATCCGGGTAATAATAATACCGTCTAATAGAGCTTATTAAAGAGAATCTACTAAGGTTTTATTATTAGACGTATTATCTATTATTAATCTAAATACTCGTGATTTAAGGTTATACTCTATTAGAGTTTAAAGAACGACGCTACTTAGGTTTATACTAGTATAGGCCCTATAAAGAGGCTTAAACCTAAGTAGTACCTCGCGGCAGACCTAATTAGTATTAATAAAATAGCCTATAATTACTATAAATACCTATAAGAATAGAGATATCTAGTAGTCTAGTATAATTAATATTTTTAAGCTAGCGGGTAGTATCTAAAGGATATACTCTTACCGGTCTTAAATAAGGCTTTTTAGTCGACGGCGGATTATATCGGTAGAGGGGATTAGTAGTAGTAATAGGATATAGTAAGCCCGAGAAATAAGTAGTTAAAATATTAGATACTTAATAAGATAAAGTAGAAGCCGATTAAGCGTAAGGAACTATAGGATATCTTCTTCCTAAGTCTCTTACGAGAAAGGTATATCGGTTAAAGATTCTTCCTAATATTAGTATCTAAAATAAGTTAGTAAAGTAGTAATAGCTAGGAGTAGGTTCTAGTAGAAAAATAGGATAAAGTATAGGAACGTATACTATTCTTTAGAAATCTAGTTATCTCTACTCTCTTCCCTCGCTTACTCTTTAAATACCTAGCTATCTTAAGGTACTTCTATATTATTAATATACTATAATATTATATCTTACCCTTTATCTTTAGATTAATAGTATAAGAGTACTTAAGAATAGCTCTATAACGCTAGTATATAACCTTTAGTATACTATCTATACTATAAGTAACCTAGTAGTAGTAGCTCTAAATCTCTATATATTACGTCGAATCCTAGTTAATCTTACTCTTTCTCCCGAAATTAGTCTATAGCTACTAGTCTATCTAGTTAGTATATACTATTCTATCGTAGAGAATAAAGGCCTTCCTTCGGTCGGGTCTAATATATATAAAGAAAGAGGGGACTACTAGAGGGATATTCGGTCGGAGAAAGTCTTAGTCAGAGATATCGAGTACGTATTAACTGGAATCACCCGTGCCGTTGCTTACATGGTATTACCATTAGACTAAAAGGTCTATGCCAAACCATTCGATAGAATGGTTCGCCATACAACGGTATATATAGTCAGATGATCCCGCACCCGCATTTCGATGCGGCTATGCCTCCTGGGATCACATCCTCCCCCACTAAGTTCAAATCATATCCTCGTGTTTGCGTGATTGCCTGATTTTCAATTTTTCAACCGGATGATCAGTCAACACCCGTCTAGGTCTTATCAGTCTAGCCTAGGTTCAAAGTAGGTCCCTCGGGAATTAGGAAGGTACCAATACGTATAACTATATATAACCTCCAAGGCTACGCCTTACTAAGCCGAATTAAGCGGCATCAGCTTAGTAATACGCTCCTTACCGAGTGTACGGAGCATCTTATCTTATCGATCCAGCGGCACGATAAGATAAGAGGAATTCGAAAAGCGTACGCACCGCGATTCGAGCCCGTAACCTCACGAGCTCGGTTATCGAATGGTTTGATGGAATCACCCGTGCCGTTGCTCACATAGTATTACTATTAGACCAAAAGGTCTATGCTAAACCATTCGATAGAATGGTTCGCTATGTAACGGTATATATAGTCAGATAATCCCGCACCCGTATTTCGATGCGGCTATGCCTCCTAGGATCACATAACTACTAGATAGAGTAGCTAGGTAGTTTAATAATATTAGATAGCTAAGATTATCTATCTTACTATTATAGAGGAATAATATAAAGTTAGAGTACTAACTTTACGATATGATAAATTAGCCTAGTAGGAAACTTAGAAGGTAAGGAAGAAGGGAGATACCTACTAAGTAATAGTATCTAGGGATAATTAGGAGTAAATCGACTATAGGAGTAGCGAATAAATTAAGCAAAAGCGATATATTAACTTCAGAGCGGTAATATATTAGAATTATATAGTTTAGTTAGTTTATAAAATCTACCTTTCTCGAGATCTAACCTAAATAACCTAAATAACCTAAATAACCTAATAATAACCTAGTAATAACCTAGTAATAACCTAAAAAACCTAGCGATAACCTAGTAAAAACCTAGTAATAACCTAAAAAAACCTAGATAAAACCTAATTCCTATCCTAACTTCCCCCTAGGACCCTTTAAAAAATTTTAATCTATCTCTCTGTAAGGACCTTATAGAGATAGCTAGTTAATTTATCGTAACTTTTATCGGGGGGCCGCCCCCCGATAAGAATATTAGATAAAAATATATTATTTATACTTTCTTCTTATTTTCCCTAACCTAGTTTTCTTAATTAAATAGACTCTCTTCCTTTAGATTAAATTACCTTATAATACTTCTTACAAAAAAGAGTAAGATTTTGGAGCGATATCCTTTAGTATAAGAAGATACACTAACTCCGACTAGTAAATATATATTTCTATAATTACTCATTAGAATATTAAGCTCCTAGGTTAAACGTTCCTAACTAAGTTAACCTTAATATTCTAATAAGTAATAAGTTATAAACTAGATCTAGCCTAACGGAAGATAGAGTTATTTTCTAAAGTTTTAAAAGGTTTATACGACGAATATATAGTACTCGTTAGTATTAACCAGAACAGATATAAAAAATAGTATATTATTTTGATGACTAAGCAGCTTTATAATCAGAATTATGCAAAAAGTTAGGTCAAGTTAGGTCTCATTAGGTTTTACTAGGGCCCCAGCATTAGGTCCGGGTTAGGTCCGGGTTAGAGAAGTTCAACCCGGACCCAGGCTAGGTTGGGTTTTGGGTCGAGACCTTCGACCCAAGTTAGGTTATGCGGAAGTCTAATAGATTCTATATCTCGGTATAGCGTTTAGAACGCTTAGCGGCTATAAGACGGGTAGAACGCTAGTAAGTCGGTAGGTTAGATATCTTTCCTTTAGGTAGTTAAAAAGAAGATTTAGTAATTATTAGGGTTAGGATTATAGGATAACTAGGACTATTAACTAGGTAAAGGATTAAAGTCTAGGGGGGCTTAAATTTAAAGACTAAATCTTAAAGATCGGAGTTCTTCCTCCCTTCTACGATTATTATATATATATCTCCTACGTACCGGACCTGTATCCTTAGGGCTACAACCCGGATAGATTCGTTAGCGTTCCGTACGTGATTATCCTGTGGCCGCGCCTTAGTAGGTCGCGCCGTGATATACGTGATATATGTGGTAGCTGAGAAAGATCACGTGAGAAGTAAATATTTGGAAGATATCACGTGACTCTACGTAATATAACTTTAGGGGCGGTCAATTCTGCCACGGCCAGCCAATCAGAGCACAGAAATGAAATTCCAAGCACTTATATGAGAAGCAACTTCTCGTTCCACTCCAATTTACAACTAGACTAGATCAAGCAACAGCCTAACCACGCAGACCTAAGTCCTAACCAAGTAGCCCACACGAGCTAGTCCTAGCATCAGGCACATCACCCAGCATCCTCCAGGCTCCATCAGATACTTTCGGGTTAAGATTATTACTATATAGCTTATATATTATCTATATTATAATCACGTAAATAGTATAAGAGTACCTCCTTCGCTCTTGCTGTATTAGATCTATCTTTTCGCGAGAGCGGCGAGACTATCGGTAATATAGTCTTTGAGGACTATTAATTCTACGATTAATAAGGGACAGAGTAGCTTGAACGGTACTACGCTTCCCGGAATTAATTCGATCGTGTGATTATATTGTATTGTGAAATTGGCGGTTGTGGGTGGGTCGAAGTACTAAGATTACGTAGGTCACAGATATCTCTTGAGACTCATCGAGAGGGTTCTGGAACAATCATGGTTTAATTCAAAAGACAAGAATCACATTCAAATGCACAATGCGAACCATTCTTTCCGCAGCAAAAGGCAGGGCATACGAAACAGGGACTATTAAGTTAAACACAACATAGGGCTTCGGAATCTAGCGAAGAAACCCAGTTCGAGTGTAGACCGGCGGTTGAACGACGGTGTACACACCCCGTACTGTCATGAGTTCGGCCGATATTGAATCTAGTGGCCATCATGTTTGAAAAGCAGACGCTACGGCTGCAGGAGATCTATTCCACGGGCAGCGCGACGTCCTCGGCAAACTCTGGCTCAGCACAAGTCTCCTTCGCCTGCCGGATGAAGAGCAGCAGTCGTTGGCGCCGGTAGTAGATATTGGTCAGATCTATGTGCACCTTCGCCTCAGCATCGTTCTGGCCGGTGATGAGGATGAGCATGAAGAATGTCTCGATGACGCTAGGCGGCACATTGGAGATCAATTGGCCGGTAAGACTCCACCTCATGGCGCTGGAAGCGGCAAGACAACCAATTGTCAGGAAAAAGCCAGCAATCACCATGTAAATATGAGAGCTGACTTGGTCCATCCGGCCCGAGACACGCTGAGTCAAAGACAGAGGCTTCTCGGTCCCATCAGCCGAAGGAACCGTCATTGATAGTCCTGCGAAAAGACTCAAATCTCTCTCTTCCACTAGGCGAATTTGATGGTCCGTGTACTGGTGCACCTTGCCTTGAATGTTTCGAAGCACGAAACTGTCAAAGAGCCCGACCAGCCCCGCGTATGTGCCGATGAGCAGCCACCAGTTGCTGTTAAACTCAAAGACTGGGCCGACGGCTGCCCACGCAATCACCACAAGTACGAGGAAGATCATACCGACAAGAGTGCCGATAATGTCCGCATAGTAGAAGACGACGACTTGTAGGAAGCTCTCTTTCGGAGGGGACATCACTTCTGTCTGGTTTGGTAGGTCATCCTCGCTCAGGCGACGAAGCTCTTTCTCCAGAGTTGAATCAAGTCGGAAGATCGCGTCCAGACACGTATTTGTGTAGTCTGCGTAGCGTTCGCGAAGGCAGGCTAGGAAGGCAAAGACCAGAATCATAAGCGCCGACGTCGCATCGTTGATATAGAGTTGCCATCGATTCGACCAGTCACAAGAGGGGCCAAACCCCAGCCAAATGAAGATGCACACCCAGTAGACAGCACCGGTTGCAATATGTCCAAAGGTCTTGGCGGAAACGATGATCCACCGACCAAAGAGACCTTGTGTGCGCAATCCATGGTCCAACGGGTCGAGTGGCCAATGATCGCAATGTTCCGATACCCGACGTACTCGCTCACTTCCCAGCTTCGCCTTCACCTTGGCGATCATGCGTTGGTGACTGTTGCAACGGGATTGTATCTGAATCATGACTTCGCGCTGCTCGGAGAATTCGCGGAGCAGCTGGCGCATGAGGAATGAATCGAAAACGTAACAAAGAATGGCTTGCACATCGGAGATAGCAGCAACCCAGACATCCGAGTCCCCAAAGCGAATGCCCATCAGAGCCCAGGTCAAAAGACCCGCAATGATCAATAAGAAGATCGGGGCCGACCCGGCCACCCGCACCGTCGCATCGAGCCAGCGGTCCACCCGTCTCGGGCTCGTCTTGACTCGATACCCGGAGACTTCTTCGGTCGCCGGCGTGGAGGCGACATTGACTCCTACTTCCTTCTCCTCTGCCACGCGCTGCGTCTCTGCTGCCCCCTCAATCGCACATCGGAAAACAGGCCTGAAGGATTTCATTGTAGGCGATCAGGCACGTACCGCTGACTTGGGGTTCCGATACGGTGCAATCGCTTACCAACTCAGGATGAAGGACAGGACGGGCCAGTTACGGTGGGTGAGTGCGGTTTGCGGACTCGCGAGAGTATTTTAGTCCAGTCAATGTGCCTGGGATCGAGGAGACGATGGAGACGAGAGAGTTCATAGAGCGAGAATCAGCCATCCAGATGTCAAGAATTAGACACTTTGTGCCTGAGAGTGTTGTTGTGTCTTTGGGTAGGTCTTCTGAGAAGAGCAGAGAAAGAGAATGGTGGGAAGATGGGAGAGGTAGTGTAGAGAAGTATGAAGTGGAAGTGGAAAATACTAGGCCCGGCGACGGAGGGTGCCGGTTGATGGTGTCAATATGCCATCTTCGGCCTCCGGGCTCAACTACCGGATGAGGAAAACAGGGCTCAGGTACGGCCGCGGCATGATGGCAGATGGACAACGCTAATATTTCCCTGGTCGGCACCAGTAATTGCCTCATACATATCCGCACCCCGGTGAGCCCTTTTTTTTTTTCCCCGACCATCGGACGACTGATACGGCCGAGAAAAATTCGTCTATCGTCGGTGGAAGAAAGAAAGAAGCTTGGGCCCAGGATGCTCGTGGTGAGTAACATACGAGTGACCTGACCACCAGTTCCGTCCAGCGGGGCTAGGCACCCATAATTGGGATCAAAATTTGCTTAGCTGAATTTGAGCCATTTTCGACCGAACCAGCCCCAGGGAGAAAGTCGACAGCTTTTGTTCCAATCCTTGGTACGCTGGTAGGACTTGGCTGGACTGACTTTTCGCGGCTGTACTTTCTCGCCTCGAGCTCCGTGAAAATATGAAACGAGAGGGCTGTCGAAACGTCTAGAAAGTATGTTCGTCTGTGTAGGCCCTGTAGGGGTCTGCTGTACCAGGACAGTAGGGGTATACCCAATGAGCGAAAATAAAGCTGAAATAAAAACTGGATCGGTTTGCTGTGCTCTGTTCACCGCAATATACCCGAAGAATGGACAAGTTGATGATCGAGTATAAACAGGCTTTTTGGGTCAGGTACTTGGTGGAGTTGTTTATCCTGCTACTGGATTTTCAGACACGTGAGATCGTTTGTTCGCCAGTGGTGTTTACGGAATAGATCAGATGGTATATCTATTGCAATGATACTGTGAAGAGGTATTTGCCTCGGCGAACAAAGGAGGGTCAGAATGAGGTCTGTTGTGGGTGCTATTTATAAGCTGATGCTCTATTTCAGAGAATTATGAACAGTCTATGTCATTACCTGTATTTACGTGCGAGGAATAGACTTTTGCATCTCCTCGCTCTGGTGAAGAAGAAGGTACTCAAAATGTGCTCAAGCTTTGAAGAGTTTAAGCGCTGGCTGCATAGGCACATATCGACGGGCTACCTCTTCTGCCATCCGTCCGCTCTCTATGCTTGCGGAAGCAATCAATTTATGACACCTTTGGACCTAAGCCTAGTACGGTCCCCGTTTAGTCTTGTCAGCAGCTACTTGCTGTTTCTGCTGTAGGTCAAATGCCCGGTCGGGCTTATGTATAGGTCCCGTCCTCCTTGAACGGTTAGTCAGAAAGTGTCGACGCTCAAAGGACTTATCTCCTTTTGTGTCACACAACTGCAACAGCCCGTACTTCAGCGCTCTTAACACTCTAACTGAGAAAGAAGGAACATCTTAGAGGAAACGAAGCCAGGGAAATCATCCGGAGTGTTGAGTTATACCGATCAGTCGGAGAACTTTTTTCTCTCGACTCGCATACAGAGTTCACAATGTGCATACTCAAAGAAATGACATAAATTTCCGCCAAGCCTTTTTGGTCGAAGTAGCGCGAACTCTATTTCGGTGGACAGAGTCGGGCTTATGATAACAGTGTGCGGATCTTATGCCCTTGTCAGCCCATAGCCATGTCATAAGATTCGCATTAGTAACCATGTTATCTGACCTGCCTAGGTAGTATGTTCTACCACCATCTTTAGAATCTTATTTTTGCAGTGATTTCCTTCAAACATCGAACAATGTTGAGATTAACAGTTTGCCCGTCCGTGGTCTTCGCTTTTACCCGCTCTCGAGTGCAGGCGAGCATCTAAGGTCCACCATAGCAGCGGCAGAACAAGATAGTTAAGCTTGAATTGGATTTGTCCGATCGGAGGAGAAAACGCGAGACAGTAACTGTAGCCCATACATCACAGGCCGCAATTGAAGAAAGTCGCCAAACCAGATCTTCGTTTGTCTATTTGATCATGGGTCCTTGCAGAACATGGACAAAACGCAAAGCGATATTGTCTGGACCCGATTCACGTCGATCTGAAACGGGACTGCTCCTGATTCAGGTGTCCAATACTTCTGCAAGATCTGGTATTGTTACTTTCATTGCTGACTGCATGATTTCTCTCGGAGCGGATCAAGGTGCTATTTGAAGTACGACTCTTGGCTTTCTATAGGATTGTTTCGCTTTGTGGTTGGAAAACGTTCAAGTAAAGCCAAGCGACCGCAGGAGGGCAAAAGGCCCAACATGGGGAGCAAATTTGGAAAAGAAAATGAGTGATCAGATACGGTCGAGTGAGTAAGGACTCCAAACGTTGAATATACCCCAATAATCAGTCTGTCCTCTTGATATCCGCCTCGGTGACAGCAGCAACTCGGGGTCAGACTACCAGTAGTTACCCCATACCTAGCTCAAGTTAGTACACTATCCACTGATCCGGCTATTCTTCATGACCAGTGACTCAACGTCAAGTGACGGATTTAACACCTCGTTGCTTCGTCCTGTGCCAATCATGGCAGTGCAAGTTGCAGACGCCGGACGGAAATACAGTACCGTTTCCATCCCTTGAACATGACTCGGATGTCTCATGAATCAGTCAGAGACTAACGATACTTCGGTCCTACTCGCCGATCTCGATAAGCGGGATCTCCAACAGTCCAGCGATTAAACGTGGCCTTTCCGACCAGATCGAGTAAAGCGCGGTGGGAGTGATAACGATAAGAGTGCTGCATCATCCGCTATCGTAAGTACACATCTCTATTTACCCTCCGCGACTTGAACCCCTTCCCCTTTCGTTCCAATTTCGAATTCCACGTTTCTATCAGTTCTTGCTTTGTTATCTTCACCATGGTCAGCTTCCTTATACCCTTCACTATCATCAAGATTAATGTGACTGACTCAATCCAGGCGCAAACCCCCCAACAACGCCGTGCAAACGAAAAGTTCGCCAAGAGCGAAGCCGCTAAGCGCGGAAGAGGGCCAACTGTCGCGAAGCCCAAGCAGAGCAAGTCTCCAGTTTCCACAGGCTGGCTTGGTAAGTCGATAAATGCAGTATGCCTTGAACAACTACTCTAATCAGTTTCACTAACACACCTTATTTCCATCGTTCAGTGGTTCTGGCCTTCGTCGTCTGTGGTGGACTTATCCTCGAGCTGTTCAGAATCGTCCCTCAGATCTGGGACACACTGGCCTCGATGCTTACTCGAATCACTGGATAAATCAGTAACGCACGGTCTTTTCTACCCTCCCTATGACTATCGATACACCATCGCAATGATGCAGAAAGATACCCTCGGCTCTACACGGCATTGCAGCGTCGGTTCTACTCATGGCGATATCCCTTCTCCTCCCGCGACAGGACAAGTCTAGCCTCATTTCTTCGAGCGTCGAGGATCACCAAATAAGCATGGATACGGTCTCGCTCGCACTTCCTTGTCTTTGAGGCTCTCCGTCAACTTTCAACTTGTATTATGTTTTCCATACGAGCTGGTATCGTCTGCAAGGTCTCTAGTACCACACTTATCTACTATTATTTTGAACTCTGCCTCTACGTTGAGCATTCTCTCCACTCGACGATCCAAGGCATTTATTTCACAGAGAATCTGCTGTTTGTAGATGACACATGTCTGTTGAGATCACCGTCACAATCGTACACCTATAGAAAGGGAACCTTGGAAGGGTCTGCGTGTCACCTAGGCATTTCCTCTCCTGTCTTTTCGGTCTCAATCCCGTTACCCCCCTCGGGTTTGAGAGACTTGTCTTTCTTCTCCTTGGATTGTCGGGACTTTTTCTTTTTCACCTCAGTCGGTTGGGCATCATCAGTAGACGCCACTTTTTTCTTCGTTTTCTTCTTCTTGACGAGCATCCCCTCGCTGGGTATCCCTTCGACTTCAATGCGTTCTGATGCTCGTTGCATACGCAACCGCACTTGCTCAACTTCTCGCATCGCCTTTTTCATTTCCAGGTCCCCATCGTCGCCCTGTCCTGTGGACGTTTCGGGCTTGTCGTCCCTTGAAAGAGACAGACTGCCAAGACCGCTGGAGTCCACCGTGAGAAGCGATCGTCTGGCGCTCGGGGGAAGAGATGCGGACTCTGTAGGGTTGTCAAAGGGGAGGTCTCGCTAGCGCCGAAGGTCTCGTCCGCCGCAACCTCCAACTTCTTTCGTCGGCTCCGACGTGTGCCTGTTGATCCACGCGTGGCACGATCGGGTTGTAGAGGGTCTAATTGTAAGTCGATAATTGGGATGGAGTCAACATCCAGCGCGTTCCCATCCGCAAGGGGTGACGTCGACAAATCGGAGCGTCCGCCCATGGACGCAATGTAGAATGGATCATCTTTATAACGCTCACTGCGTTCATTCCTGCGCCTCTCAGTGGCGGCGGGAGATCCCGCAGAGCCTCTCAAAGTGTTCTGATATGATGGTTCAGTGTACATTTCCAGAGAAGATATGGCCGAGGCAGCCTTGGTAGGGACAGAGGTCAGATCGGGGACGTGGTAGAAGTTTTGCAAAGTACCGCGCTGATCGGTTTCAAAGAATGCAGTGCCAGCGCTTTGGAACAAATTTGGAAGATCATCATTGATTGGTTCATCTAGAAGCAAAGTCGCAGGCAATGCTACCTTCTTCTGGGCAGTGGGAGCGACGGGGTTGAGTTCCAAGCCTTCGAAAAGACTGGGAAGGACAGTGGCCAGTAGCGAAGGCATTTCCTCGACATCAGAACGCAGTGCTTCGGCGCTCAGGCGAAGGACTTCCAGGAATTCAATTGCTCGTTCTTGCACATCAAGATCTGGATGAGCTGCCAGGGCCTCAAGGAACTCCACAATCCGCGCAAGCAGAAGAGTGGTCTGGGTTTTCCACGAGTTTGCTTGATAAGCATCTCTGTTCACCTGTACAAAGACTTTGGGGATGGCTTGCAGGAAGAGTTGGAGCGTTGACGCCGGGAGATTCACGTTCGATGGGTCGATCATCGACTGTAGGGTTCGACTCGGAGAGGCCAACTCAGTCGCATATTCACCAACAACCCATGAAACGGGACCCAGCACATCATCGCCAGCGTTAGAGCCTAGGGGGAAGAAGGCTGACCGGTTGTCGATGATTAAAAGGGATTCGGCGGCGCGTGTTGCCTCTGGTCGCACTCCTCTAACACGTACCGCAACGTTTCGAATTTCAGATCCGATTCGGAAAGCGGTGCTCAATTTAGATTTCGCACTTGCTTCGTGGCCCGAAGCTGTGTTATACCAGGCATCCTCCGCCTCCGAAGGTGGTAATAGTCGAATGAGTTGAACCAAGACACTGACATACCACTCGAAATCCACAATCTCCGAGTAGTTGTTCTGGGAACACATGTCAAGTACCCGATGTACGATCTCGTTACGGTAGTCATTTGGTATAACGACTGCAGGGTTCGCGGCTGGATGAGATCCCTCGCCTTCTTCCTCTCCGTCTTCCCCTTCAGGGTACACGGTGGTCCCGGCGTCAGCAGTAGCCGGGAGTGTTCGTGTAGCCAAGCGAAGCTGATTCAGGAGACGGTCTACCACTTCGTGCAGAGTTTCACTAGACACCATCCCGGCGGCGAGCTCCAGGGCTTGCAGACGAATAGAGATATCTGGATCATCCAAACAGTCCATGATCACATCCTGCTGCACCTCGACCAGTGAAGAGTGAGTCGCGACGATCCGATTCAAGGCCAACAATGCAACATATTTCACTAGAAGCATAAAGTCAGTTTGGCAAATCGCCCACAAGTCGAAGAATTGATTCCCTTACAGTTCGGATCCGAATCCATGGCAATCATTCCTCGGAGCTTGCCAACGCAAAGGCTAGCGACCTCGTCTCTTTCTTGTAGATTATCCTCGCCGTCTAGAATGCCGCCTTGAATGATGCCATTGATGCACTCGTAGAGCAAAGACATTGCTGTCGTAGTCTGTATGATATTGACCAATGGGCGCAATAGCTTGCGCGTCAACCTCGGTTCCACGGGTGTCAATGTCGCAAACTGGTATGAGATTAGCAATGCCCCTACGATCAAGTAAAAGAGCTCAAAATGCATACAAGTTTTATGATCTTGATGGCCATCCAGTTGTTGCCGCTGTCGACGAGAAGCTCGAAGAATCTCGGTGCTAATGGGAGGAAATCGGTAGGGCGTCGCCACCCCAATTCACAAACAACATTAATAGCTGCAGTGGTGACACTACTGTCTTCGTGTTCATCCATCAACCTTTCCTGAATTTTGGGCCATCCCAATCTGAGCGCTTCTGGGTATACTAGGGCAAAGCGGTAAATGCATACGATCGATTTCTTTCGGACCGTGGGACTGGAATGGGAAAGTCGGGAAAGAACATCGGGCAGCAGCGACATGGCCAGTGACGGTGTGATGATATGCGGCAAAGAGACCAGCGGAAGTGACAATGAGGGAATACCGTGTGATACGATGTCCTGAATTCGAAGTTTAGCGTATGCGCAACCACACAAAGGCCGGGAAATAAAACACAATCTCAGGTCGCAGAGAGCGTTTAGATGAGGCTGACCTTCTTCAGCATGTTCGTCGCTAGCATGAGCACCTCCGTGTCAGGACGAAAGCTCTGTACCGCACCTAAATATCCCACTCTTTTCTGGAGGTACTTGGCAGACGACATCACTTCCAAGACGTGGAAGGAGGCCCAAGACATATCGTAGCCGAACATCTCCAGATATATCAACTTCAATAGAGCTGTGGCCTTCTTGTCTGTTCGAAATTCAGTACAAGGTGCGTAGACCAGAAGCCGAATGTCACGCCAAGCTCACCCATATCTTGTGATTTGATCTCCGCTTTGCACTCGCGGAGACAACTTTGTACGTACTCATCTTCGGCCCCCTTGTGGCTTCGAAGGCCTTTGATGAGGTCATAAAGGGACTTTTCGAACCTGCAATGCTTGTCAATACTCGGTAGAGGCCCATGGCCAAGACTACGGCCGAAAGTGGCTCGTTCGGGGTATCACCTACATTGTGTCTGGCGCGGCCCGACTGGCCTGACCGGGCTAAGGGTGACGTGGGTCAAATCCTGTGGCAATATTCACAGGGAGCACGCTGTACACAATGCTCAATCCAGTCTATGCGCCCGTCGATGCAGCTTGCTGTAAAGATGGAAAGCTCCAAGTTCACCGTCACCTCCGACTCGACGTGGGGAGCTCCGGGGGAGTGGGTTGACTCTGGCCGATAAGGATCACGGGATCGCGTATCGCAGCTAATCTCCGGCCCCCAGCTGTCGGAGTTACTCCACCATTGTCGATTGTCACTCTAAAGCGACCACCATTTACGCGATTGTTATCCAGCCGCGTGTATTCCCTGATATTCTACAAAACGAGATCTAAGGGGAAGTTAGGTAGGACTTCCTTTGTGCATAGCCATTCACTTCGGTCACACAAGCTGCGAAGGACACTCCTCGCGACCCCTTAATCCGTGACCGCACTGACCAGATAAGATCACAGTACGAGTCTCACCCCCACCCTCCGCGAGCGAAATCAATTCATCTGTCCGTGATGGGTGGCTCTGTGGGGACCGATGTCAATGGAAGCGATGTGCTCTCTGCTCTGAAGTTGGCACAGCAGGCTCCCGCCATTCTCGGCCACGGCACTGCGCCGAGCACCAACATCCCGGCTAAAGTCTCGCGGGATACAGTGGAGGAATACAGCCGGCTTGAACAATTGTTTCTGGCTTGTCTACAGACTGGTGATGACAAATCTGCGCAAGAATGTCTCGATCGACTCAGTCAGCGATTCGGGCCCGCCAATGAAAGAGTAATGGGTCTTCGCGGCTTGTATCAAGAAGCGACTGCCAAAGACACGGCCGCTCTGGACAAGTGTCTGGCCGAATACGAGAAGATTCTCTCAGAAACACCCGTCAATGTGGTCAGTATCTACATGGTCTCGTGAGAATTGTCAATGGGAGTACCTCTCCAAGCCACAGGATTCGGACTGACTTGGTACTCATGCTCATATCAGCCAGTAATGAAACGCCGAATCGCTCTTCTTCGGTCCTTACAGCGGCCCACAGATGCCATTGCTGCTCTCATCCAGCTTCTCGATGCTGTACCTACTGACGCCGAGGCTTGGGTAGAGCTGGCCGACCTATACCAGTCGCAGGGCCTGGGCGCACAGGCGATCTTCAGTATGGAGGAAGCTTTGCTGATTGCTCCCAACTCCTGGAACGTACGTGCCATGCCATCTCTTTCTCACCTGGCATTGAAGAGAAAAGGGGCTTTAACTGACCTGTTTCCTTGCAGATTCATGCGCGACTGGGTGAATTGCTCTATGTCTGCTCCTCATCTTCCGAAGGCGATGCAGGTCGACTTGCTGGCAAGTCTGTTCAACACTTCTGTCGTAGCATCGAGCTTTGTGACGATTATCTGCGAGGATATTACGGATTGGCAATGGTATGTTTTTTTTTTTGCAGGCTTTGTCTCCGTTCCCAGGAGTCCAGTCTACTGATGCGTATACTCATGCGTATACTGATGCGTATAGGCTACTTCCCACGTGCTCGAAAACAAGTACGCGCCCGAGAGCTCGGCTGATCCGGCCGTGCCTTCGCGGCGTACTATTGAACAGCTCAAGGATCTTGCGCTGCGTCGGTTGGAACATCTTGTGCAATCCCGCTCGGTGGACGATCAGAATTGGGTGTCAAGTCGGGGAGAATTGATTGCAGCCAAGGAGCTTCTCAACCGCTACTCGGCGGTTAAATAGGGAGGACAATTTTCCCCTCTAGAACAAAGAGAAAGCCAACAGACGGGGAATGAACAGGGGGAAAACTTCATTCATGTCAATTGCAATTTATTTGTCAGATACCCTAATTCAAAAGATCACTTCATTGCCTGTTCCATTCCGTCGTGTGAGTCTGCGGGGGATCCATGCCTGCCCGGTGACGATGTTCCGTAGGGGCGCGAGAACTAGGCAGAGGATAAATGGAGTTGATGAGATCGGCTTAGCTGCCACATGACAGAATATTTCTGGACTCGTTTCAGATACTTTCGTCAGTTCGCTCGTCCCAGGATGAAATGCGCAAAAAGTCACCGGCCTCTGGAGTTCTTCGCCCAATTTCAGGCCTGGAGACTCGCGCGATTACCAAATTATCGTTAGGTTGTCAGTTGCTGACTCCTAGAGTCACTAAGTGAACAATCATCAAGTTACAAAGTACGCTCTAGACCTCGTGAAGCGGACCCTGTGGATCATGAAGACGACGTTCCACATTTTGAAAAGAGCTGGCTATACGCGCCCCTCTTTTACGAAAGGCCACTTCTTGCTGATGGAGCTGAAAGCAAGAGGCAGAGAAGTTAGAACAACCAAATTTACCGCCGTTCCGACCTTACTAGCCACCCGGACTCGCACGGGAAATTAGAAAGGAGGCTCAAATTTTGGCTCACAAGACCGGCGCAACTCGTACTACTGTATGTGTTTTTTGGGGAGAGGCAGCACTGGGTTGCAGGCTGACTGGTGCTTTCTTGCTGCACGCGGTGGATTTGTACCCGATGCACGTTGGGTTGACTTGTTGGGCATATGCATGCGTTTACCCACTTGTGGACTTCAACTTCCTAGTCATGTACTCACTACTCTCCAGTACAGCCGTCGCAACTTGCCAGTGGCCCTGCACGGTATTTAGTTACGGTTTCAGTCGAGGGGAGTGTCTCCGCTGTGAGTCACATCTTTCCGATGAAGGTGGGAGAACTACCTGGACCCTACCTCAAGCTTTTTGGGCAAGGCTGGTTCCTGTCCTATTTTTTCATTCTCCTTTGGAAGTCATATCTTGGCTTTGAGCATGCATTGTGGTACTCTATAGTATGAGGATTCACCGATGTAGGTAATTATCTATGTTGTAAGGTAAGTACTAAGTACCGGTGTATGGGAGAAAGACTCCTGTTGCGGCTTGTGCACATCTGCGACTGCAAAGTCTGATTTGCATCTTGAGCATGATCAGACACTTTCCAAAATTTGTTCACTCTCCATTTTGTCCTCGTCAACATGATCGCGATGTTTCCAGGTTGCGACCAGGGTTGGTGATTGGGCGCCATTGGGCAGCAGGCAGGCCAGAGACACCAGAATCGGGCGGAGGCACTCTGCTAAGGTTCCTGACTTGAATCTTGATCGCATGAGACGGCAGACATTGATTTTGTATGCTGGGCATATTTTCGCAGTCAGCAGTTTTGCACAAAATCATGACCGTTGATATTCTTTCCATGGGAAGTACAATAACACCTGTGTGCTGGGGGCATCCATAAAAAACTTCATCGGGCCGCCGTAAAAGTGATCGAGATTAGCCCAGAATGATATCAGGCCGCTCGTCGCTAGGTTTTATTAGGGCTTCTCGTAGAGAATTCTTTACATTGAACGGTTGATGACGGCCATAGTAGACTATTGCCGCCGTGGAGGGTTGATGGGCACCACTTGGATTTAATAGGTGCCGTAGAATAATAACAATAACAATAATCGTAAGTATATGGCGTGTTCATCTATCATCATTCGCCACCAGGTTGAATTTGAGCCAGACCGCACCCGCTGTAAGGCACCAGGCAGGGGAGTAGTGAAGGTCTGGACGAGAGGTTCATGTTGCTTCTAGACTCGACGATGGGCCACCAGGAGAGGCGGATGTGTATGCTTGTCATTTGGACTGGATCAACATCTAGTCTAATCCACTTTCTCCCTTCGAATTCCCTCTGAATCTTTGACCCGCGTTCACAGGAGGAACCACGTCTTGTATCCGGATGACTTCTACCGCAAGTCCTCTGTGTCCTGTCCTAGTCGTCGTGCTACCTTGATCTTGATTTTGGTATGACGATGAGGTGAACCGGGGGAAACGTGGAAGATTCATCGAGCACAGCCTCTCTCTCATCGCGAGCTCAAGACGCCTGTGCACAAAAAAAAAAAAAAAAAAAAAAAAAGAACAATCGAGATAGATCGACCTCTACCTGAAGTCCTGTAGACTGTATAGTTCAGTACTGACCAAAATCTGATCGGCATACCTGAACATTGCGATTGGCTCACTGCATCTCCCATGCGATCCTCTTCTTCTCCCGATCTCTTCAACTTCGTGCTTTTGTATGCCCAATCGGAGCCCAATTGGTAATTTTTGTCCAGTCGTGGGGACCCGACCCGATTCCTGTCGTTCTTCTCGTCCGACCAGAGAGGGTAAAGGCAAAGGAGAAAGAAAATAAAGAAAAATCAAAACCAAAAAGTGACACATCGGATTGTCAGGCAGACACGTGAGAACGACAGCAGCTCCGTCCCAGAATGGTCTCCTGACTCTCTCGCCTCTCATATTCCGCTCGTCAAGTCCACACATTCTCGCTCTTCATTTCTTTTCGTAGATCCCATCCCCTGCCCCCGTCTCAGGTGACACAACAAACATTGACCACCGCCGGGACTTCAAATGATCACGAGAGTCAATAAAGGTCTTCCCGTTCACAGCCACTGTACCCTGTACACTCGTGTACACTGTACACTGTTCAGCGCACATCCACAGTTGATACCTTCCATCGCGGCTCAACCACTGCCACGGCGCGATTGAATTTTCGTCGACTACTGTGTCTCTCCTGCGAGTCCTGCCTAGTCGAAGGGAGTAGTGTACTACTATACTGTAGTCGTCGACTGCACCGGGAGTGTATCGAGTACTCCAATTGCCTTCATTCCACTCCCAAAGAGACATCTGAGGGACCCCCCGTTATCCGGCTCTGGGCTCTTTGCAACCACATTCCTGGTTCGTGCAAAAAGCAACAGGAAGATCTCGGAAAACAATCCATCATCCACTCACATCTGGTCCTGGGTCCATCGCGATCCGTGCCAGCCCTGCCGGTCTTGCAAGGGGGAGGAGGTTTTCCTGCTTGGACAGACACCAACACACGCGGACGCCGATACTTCCATCCTCATTCACGTATACACGCGCCGGATTCCCACCCCCACCTCTCTCGCCAACTTAAATCCATACGACACTCAAGCCTTCAAGCCTCAATTGCGCGGGGCCAGTCAAATGCGAGGTCTCTTCTTGTCCCCGCGTCCGCCCAGCCTGATCCTTGTAAACACTGACGACGAGAGGACGAGAAGGAGACCGTCCGGGGGAGTAGCACCAGCTTGTCTCGCGACGGAACACAAGTGGCCGCGAGCGCCCAACCCAGCGAACAACAAAAGCAACATCGTGAGCCCCACTACGACAAAGGCATCTGCCATCGCGGAAACCTCGTCAGACGGTTCATCACCGACAGCCTTACAGACGACTCCGTCGCAGCCTTCTTACTCCACTCTTCTTCTCTCCCCTCCCATCTTCTTTCTTCCGCTCATCACCGCCACTCTTCTCGCACGTCCCCAATTCTCCCTCCTCACTTGGTGCATGCAAGTCTTCCGGAGAGGGGAAGAGGGTTAATTTTGCAGTACAATCTCATTATCGTCAACTGAATTCCTCTCCCTGGACACGATAAGCTTTGCAATCTCTCTATGACGTAAGTTTGTTTTTTCTTTTCCTCTTCCCTCTCACCCTTCCTCGTCGCCGGCCGGCTGTTGGGCGAGGACATCCTCCCCCTCCAGCTCAGTGACTGCGTTGCCCAACTTGCCTCTTGTCCTGTTCTTCTGCCCTCTCATTTCCTCCGCTTCTCATTCTTTCACTCTCTTCCATTCCTTCTGTCTCGTCTGTGGCCACCGGTTGGATGCGATGTTTATGACATCTCGACTGGACCATAACTAGACGGGAAAGGCGAAAAAAAAGCTCGGGGCACCCGTTCTCACCGCCCCTCTCACGCTTTCCCTCCCCCTCCCATTTCGCATTCTTCAGCGTTGGAACACACCCCCCCCCTCGTTCAAACGCTCTCCACGCGCCGTTCCATGGTGCTAACCCGGGTGTCTCCTCCCCCCACCATAGGCTCAGCATCTCCATCGACCCCCAGGACTCGCGCGACTCAGATTCTCCGTCGGACGAAGAGGGTTCTCTTGTAGATCTGGGAAGGGATGACTACGAGGACTATGATAATGAGTGGGCCTATCTGTCATATCCGGGTGAAGTGAAACCGTCTGATTCAGCGTCTCGACCAAGGACTTCGCACCGCAATCGCTCGCACCACAGTTCGCGCTCCGCGTCGGGCCGCCCCAATCCAGTGCGTCGGCGGATGGTGCCTGAACGGGAGTCTCGCGAGTCCTATGGGACTCGCCAGCGCCGTCGTCCCTCCCCCGAGTCCGCCGAGTCCGCCGACAGTGCAGATTCTGAAGACTACCCCGGTCATTATACACGTGCGCCCGCAGATCGCAGGTGGCCGCAGGCGCCGCCGCCGCCGCCGGGCTATGCCCACAGCAACTCCTCCGGCCCCTCCTATGGCGCATATCCTCCTGTCTCAGGACACGCCTCTCCATTCCCACCCCATCTCAACGGCCACCTCCCCTCAGATTCACTAGTGCGACTCGGCCATGGAAATCCGGGCGCTCCGCCCTACGGCCCCGGGGCCTATCCGTACAACGGACAATATCCTCCTTCCCACACGTCCGGAATGCACGGATTCTATGGGCCCGATCGTCACCGTCCACCCCATCATCCTCGCATGGATCCTCATGGCCTGGGACAGCCGCCCATGCCTCCCCATCTCGCCGGCCACATGTCACCCACCCCGTATCCGGGGTCGCCCTTCCATCAAGAGATGATGCACTATGCGCAGAACCCGTATCTCAACCCTTATCCCATCATGCCGGGCATGGTCCCCCCATCCTATTTTCCTTACCCATCGGTCCCTCCTCCGTCTCAGCCGCCTGAGCCGGCTCCCGCCCCAACTCCAGCGCCCGCGCCTGCGGCTCCCAGTCCTGCACCAGCCCCCGCCAGCCCTCCCGCTGCACCTGCGCCCGCGCCTGCCGACGTGGCCAAGGATGAAGCCATTGCGCGACTGGAAAAGCTGATCATGGACGAGCGCGCGGAGCGCGAAGCCAAGGAAGCGGCGCGCCTGGCTGCTATTGAGCGCGAGGCGGCAGAGAAGCTGGCAAGGGAGCAGCAGCTTGCACATGACCGGAAAATCGCCGAGGAAGCGGCCTTTTTGGCTCGAACAGATGCCGAGAAAAGAGCGGCGGAGGCAGCGGCGGTCGCCAAAGAAGAAGCAGAGAAAGCGGCGGCGGCCGCCGCCAGCGAAGCTGCAAAGACAGCGGCCGCGGAGGCTGTCAAGAGTGCTGCCGAAGCCGCCGCTGCAGAAGCGGCCAAGAAAGCCGAGGAGGAGGCCAAGAAGGCAGAGGAAGCCAAGAAGGCGGCGGAGGCACAGGCAGCCGAGGAAGCCAAGAAGGCTGAAGAGGCCAAGGCAGCGGCCGCTGCTGCTGCTCCACCTCCTCCCGAGAAGAAGAAGCCGCTCAAATTCAAAGACGCCATTGGGAGGAAATTCAGCTTTCCGTTTGATCTGTGTGCTACATGGCAGGTGAGTCCAACTTTGTGTTTCTCATTGACGGCGTGGGTGATATGCCCCGCCATATTACATGCGAATAGTGAGCGTATGTTGAGCGCAAAATTTTCAAGAATCAGATTTCTAATAAGTAACTTGTGCAGGGCATGGAAGATTTGATCAAGCAAGCCTTCTCGCACATCGAAGTGATTGGGCCGCATGTGGCTGATGGACACTACGACCTGAAAGGTCCTAATGGCGACATTATCCTCCCGCAGATCTGGGAAACCGTGGTTGAACCGGACTGGACCGTTACCATGCACATGTGGCCAATCCCAGAGAAACCCAAAGATCCGGATCCCCCTGCGGAACCCCCAGCTCCTCCAGCGAAGGAGGAAGCACCGCCCGCAGCTCCAGCCGCGGAACCTGCCAAGAAACCCGAAGGTATGCTAGATGCGATCCAAAAAAAGGCCAACCTCTTCGTCATGCGCGAGATCGTTCGTACTAAGCCACCTCCCGTTCTAGCTCCCAAAAAGCCAGCTAAGAAACCGGAACCAAATTCATTTGCCAAATGGATGCTCGGTGGACGTGTTCCCCCGAAGGCACCCAAGGCCCCCAAGGCGGAGAAAAAAGCTGATCCTCCTGCCCCTGCTGCTGGAGGAGGCTGAACCATATCCATTGGGTCGTCGTGGCCAGAGATCTTATGGTGTGCATCACTCACCTCGCTCCATCTTCCCACCGGCAACTCCTGTTCTTCTCATTCCACCATGCCTGCCAGTATCTTAGCCGGGGAATCCAGCAATCCATGCGTATACGTCTGGACCACTACCAGGGTCATGCAGTGCAAGGCTTTCCGTACCCAGGATTTGCGCCAAAGGGACATTCCTGATGTCCCACGTACACTTCTCCCGTTTGTGCGCACATCATTGCGCAACCTCATCCCTCGCTCCTCTCAAAAAAATCCCCTTGAACTTTTGTCGCGTCCACTCTCAGCGCCTGGGCACCAAAATTTTCGGGTCCTGGGCGCAAGTTTGATGGGTGCTGACATACATTGTCCTTTGTTCTTTTCGGGGATGCCTCGAACGTGATTAATGATTATATGTCTGTTTTATGTCATGTCGCTTACTCCGAAATACCCCTGTTGTGTTTTGATAAGATTACATAGAATTCAAAATTTCTCTTGCTCAATTGCTTTCTTACGTGGATTGTATAATTCTCGAGATACGAGAGAGTCGCCTCAAGGCTGCATGCTCGTTATTGTCGTGCGGTTCCAGATGGAACTTCAGCAACTGAACAAGAGCCGGCGGGAACCCCTTCATCAGATATATGCAACATGAGAGAAATCGTCTTCGCTCTATCAGTCCTCATTTCATCGCTGAGGAAGTAGCGGCTTCCACCCAATCGAGTCTCCAGCGGCATCACCTAGTAAATCATCCGATCGTTTAGCGTCCGACAGTTGCGACCCTCGTTTCTTCTCTTCTTCTTCTTCTTCTTCTCCTCCTCCACCTCCCCCACCGGCTGTTCTCCCCACACTCCTCGACTCGAAATCCCTCGGCAAAGTCGAACTCCTCGCCAACCCGGCCGACGCAAAAGCAGGGGAAGAAGCAGGCGAAGAAAACCGAGAACCAGTCACCTGCGAGCTCAACGAAATCGGTTTCCGAGGGACCGCGGGCGGCGACTTGTCCAGCCTCAATTTCTCCAATCTCGGAGACAACGAAACAGGAGACGAAGAGGATGTCGAACGAGAAGTAGAAGTCGAAAGATCATTATCCCTGGAAGGTCCGGCGGTTCTTCGTCGAGGAGGCGGTGCGGGTTTTCTTTCGGGGAGAGCAGGTGCTTTGGCTCTTTTTTCTTGGAGTTGGGTCTTGGGTATCCAGTCCGGCTCGGTGTCTGCGGAGAAGGGGTTTGATTTGCGGAGGGGATTGGGGACGAAGTCGGGTTTCGGGGCTTGGATTTCGGCTTTAGCTGGGGCGCCTGTTTGCGTTGAGCGTTAGTGAGTACTTGACGGGGGGCAGGGACGAAATAGCAAGATATAGAAAAGGGGGCGATTTCCAACGACTCACCCTTATCAAGCCACCACCGAGACCGATCCGAGCTCGCGGGCGGTAGACCTGGAGCAATTGGACCCTGGGTGTAATTGTCTTCTTCGTCGAAATCCAGCAGATCAACAGAAACCGGGAGGGTATCGCGCTGTCGTTCTTTGTAGAGCTCGCGTCTCAGGTTATCCTTTCTGTTCAGGTCGACGACGTCGATTTTACAATCGAATTTGGCAAAGACGGGCCGGTGGTCTGAGCATCTGAGGTCGGCAGTGTGATATTGTGTTTGGCGCAGACCGGTTCCTCGCCAAAGGATTCGATCACACCAGGCGGGGATGCGGGCTTTGTCACTAGAGTGGAAGGAGACAGGTAAGCAAGTTGGAAGGCCTAACTTGAAATGTTCTCTTGGTGCGTGTAGGTTTCTTACGATGTATCGTAGCGATCCGTCCCAACGTCGTATTTGTAGGTCGGTGGGAATGTGATGAGGCCCTCAGAATAGTACTGAAAGACTCTGCCAGCCAACATGTGTAGATTCAACTGGTCCCAACCCGTCAGCATACGATCCTGAGCAGCCGTCTGACGGTGCGTTTCCAAGGGTGTGCTACTCACTTGATCATTATCATAAAGCTTTTGCAGGTCCTGGTGCAAGATCAAGTCTCGGACTGTGGAATTGCCCAGCCCAATCCGGTAATTGAAATCCCCGAGCCAGATCGTACAGTCATGATCCGCGATAGATCGGCTCTTCTGGAATCGAAGTCCTTGGTCAATAGTCTCGTAGTCGCGATCTCTTTCATCGTCGTTGCCGAAACCGGCCGCCAAGTGCGCAGTCACAAAGCAAATACTCGTATCCGAAAAGTCGAATCGAATCGCGCAACCTCCTTTGTTTCCTGCGATTCCTGAAAGACCAGTCTATCGAGGTATTAGATTTGGGTCAATGAAAGACGAGTGGCGAGAAGCCCAGAGTCGTGCCGTACCTTCTTGACAGCGCCTTCCACATCCTTGATAACTTTGAGCGCACTCGCCTTGACGTAGATCATCAAGGCGGCGCCTACGAGCTGCCCACTGCGTAGCAACACATACTTGCCCGTTCCCTTCTGCTGCGTATGTTCATTCAGACAATTCTGCACTGCCTGTTCCCAGCCCTTTCGGTTGCTCGGATCCGTGGACATGATCTGCTGGGGACTAAGAGTGACGATCTCTTGGAATCCTACGGCGAAAATTGCAGGGTCTTCTTGAGATTCATCCCCCTTGGGAAACAGCCATGACGAAAGATCTGCGCCCGGCCCTTCGTCGCGGCCATTAACATTAAATGTGCCAACCCATATGCGTATTTTCTTGGTCGTAGAGTATTCATCTGCACGTCGGTCAAGGTCCTCGCTCACCAGTTCGTTCATCGGGTCATAGAGATGAACGGGAATCTGATTCGTAAGTCGGCCCAACAACAGATCAATGGTCTTTTGGCGGGCTTTATCTGTGAAGTTGTTGACGTAGAGTCTAGTGGCGCTCTTCCGAGCATCTGCAAGGGCTCCAGCAAGAGACATTTTCCCGTGACGGGTGAAGGAAGATTTAAGAGCCCCAGTTCCAGCATAAATTTTCGACAAGGCATCCCCGTTGTCAGCCCACAAGGTAGAATGACGCATTTGGAGATCTGAACTCAGTCTGGCACCCTGTTGAGACAGGAAAGCATCCAGTGCCATTGCGCTGATGATTGTTTGAACGAGGTTGGTCCGATCCAAACAATCGAGACAATTTGTTCGAAAGACCCCCTCTTGCTGCAGCAAGACCGCAGAGCTACTGGCCGCATCTTCCTTGTCAACAGCCGAGGCAACCGAGCGGGAGCTGTCATCGGAAAGAAAGTATGCGAATCCATCTAGAGAGTCAGCCAAGTCGTACTTGATTGATTGACTGGCCTCGTATCCAGCGGGCCCCCGGGTTTCCGCATGGAAGTCGTAATCTGTCATTCGTAACAGACTGTGCTGATCCGGTCTCTCTCGCGCGTTCTTTTTCCTGAGCGAACTTCGAGCAATATGGTCACGATATCTGGCTGAGAGATCCGCCTCGCCAGGTTTGAGTTCACTCAATAAGTTGACCACATGCACAGCTCCGTATTCCAGTGCAAGAGTCTCGAAATGTTGATTGAAAGCATGATGCGTCGCTTCAAACGAGCGAGTCACCTCGATCTTTTGTTGGCCAGGGATCAAACCTGGCGTCTGTTCCCAGAAGATGGGCACTGAGCCACGGATTTGAACGTACGAGAAACAAATGCCTGGAGACACCCAGAGCACGACCTCGGTTTCGACAAAGTTGGCCACGTTGCCGTCATCGTCGATCCCTCGCGAATTAAATCGCGTACCAGCACGGCGAGACGATTGTCTGGAAATAATTGTGAGGAGAGCCGGAAGATTCGTTCGCACTCGAGGTAAAATAGACACCGTTGCGGGAATCTTCAGCGTACTGGCGAACCCGCGTATAACACAAGTCAGGAACTGAGAATGATCAAGCTTTTCCTTATCCTCCGGAGGGAGATTACTTCGAAACAGAAGGAGAGGGTTGATCATGTAGGAGTTCCATAGCATGTCCTCATCCAGGGAATCGATACCAAATGCAGTTACTTTATCAGCACTGTACAACTTCGTCAGATTCATGAAATAAACCGTTCAATGACGCCGGACCAAGTCTGCAGGGTTTAAACTCACCGGTCCTGTAGCCGATCCGTCAAGTTGAAATCGAGACTGTAGTAGAAGCTTCCATCACCCAGAAGTTTCTTCAAGGCCAGAAATGGGTGATCAGTAACAACTTCCTTTCCGTCTGCCCCTGGGCGCTCATCGACAGCAAACTGAGAGCTACTTTCGTAGTCCTGGCCCATCTCATATTCAGCTCTATTAAGACAATCTATACATTCGTTAGAGACCACTGTACAGTGGCTGATCCACAGTCCGAACATGGGGCAGACAACGTACAAAAGTCTACATGGTCAATTCTGGCCACGGATTCACCGGGGCGAACAGTCGCGGCTTGCGATGCACCGGTAATCACGCACACGAATACATCTTCATTGAGCGTAACAAGGCCGAGAGTGCCATATCCCGCACCTAAGGCACGGAACCCCTTGAGATCTGCAGAAGAAGTTTCCGAGAATTCAACCTGACAACGCGGGGCAGTATTTGACCTCTCGTCGGCCGCATTGTGATGAAATATCAAGACATGATCGGACCCCTGCAGTGCAATTGAGCGATTGGGTTGTTCTCGGCGAAGGACACGGAAGTTGAACATGGCCTCGCCTTCAAGAGCAAGAATCTCTTTGGATTGTGCTCAGGGTTTCTACGTCTGTGATCCGCACGGGAGGGCTAAGCCTCAGCTTGTCCGACCAGCAACAATCAATGGAGTTGATGTTACTCAGCCATGTGAATCTTTCGTCAAAGTCGAGATCAGCAATTGCTCCACTATCTCCACCGTATCATGAAAGACGCAAGTAACATGAAAATCGGGGGAACGCGAAAGACTGTTCGTATGATCTCACGGCTCCGATTGATGATAATGAAGTCCAGTCCGCTAATGCGAAATGTGGCTGAACCAAATGACCCAAATTGCGGAGGGCACATGCGAGTATCTTATCGGATATCGATAAACTGATCCAGCGATAAGAGGAGACGATAAGCCAATCGACGCGGGGAAATCCAGCCCAAGTTTCAATGGTTGGAACTTGGACGATCCGTGGACTTATCGATAGATGACTCAGCACCGCCGTGCTCGACAATCTTTTTTTCCCTAAACCTTCGCTTTTCCGGGCCGTCTAAATAGTACAAAAGTCTTGTCCGTTTTTTTTGTTCTAACCCCCACCTCACTCTCTTGACACCCAGCAGCCATGGGCTTGGCCGGACCCAAAAAGTAGGCAGTCTTGTTCATGCGATCTAGACACTCTTTGTTCATGGCTAACTGATCGGAATCATTCCCAGCAAAACCAAGATCTCCCATGATCCCAACAACACGAAATGGGCCCGATCGACGTCCGGCTTCGGCCACAAAATCATGAGCGCTCAGGGCTGGACCCCTGGTGATCGCTTGGGCGCCAAGGACGCAGCGCATGCGGCACACCTGACTGCGGCCAGTTTGAACCACATCAAAGTCACGCTCAAGGATGACACACTTGGCCTGGGTGCTCGCTTGAGCCGCGAAGGTCAGCCCACCGGCCTGGATGCGTTCAAAGGACTACTGGGTCGGCTGAATGGCAAGAGTGAGGAGGAATTGGGTCGTGAACAACGGAAAAGAGACGACGTACACCTCGCTCGTTACGTGGCGCTCAAGTTCCCCGAGGTCCGCTTTGTGCGCGGTGGTCTGTTGACCCAGGAAAAGCTTCAACGACTACCAGAACCGGCTACTCAGAAAGAATCAAAGGATGCGACCAGTGAAAGTGATTCTGCCGACAACACCGAATCGGCTCCCGAGGAATCTTCCCAATCCAAGTCCAAGTCCAAGTCCAAGTCGAAGGAGAAATCCAAGGACAAGTCATCGAAAAAGTCCTCCAAGAAGTCTCGCTCTCAATCCGACGAGACCGACAACTCATCATCCGATAAGAAGAAGAAAAAGAAGTCCAAGAAGAGAAAGGCAGAGGAAGACGATGACGACACTGAAACAAAGTCCAAGCGCCGGGCATCTTCTCCTGACGAGAAGTCGGCGACCGTGGAGGGAACTGCAGTGTCCACAGTGTCAGTGATCCCCTTGGGCGAGCGCCGGCCAATGGGTAGACAAGTATTCCGCGGGCGGCATATTGCACAGAAGAAGCGCGCTCTCATGGATGACAAGTCGCTCAACGAGGTAAGTCCATGTGCAGGGTCTTTTATGGTCTTTAGTCTATTCGAATCTCTGTGTGTGGCTGTGCAAATACTGACTGTGATATATCAAAATCAGATCTTCATGATCAAAGCATAGATATCCGGGCTGCATTGTTTAAGCACTCATTGTTGAGTCTCATGGGCGAGGTGTTAGGCGTAAATCGGTCAATTCTATAGATCCTAGTTCAATCCATTTCTTGCACTGTGCATACTGCATACCTACTGGCCCAAACTAGTCAGCGAAACCCCTAGCTAGTAGTCACTTCGTCATGTCGAGTAAGTTCTCGATGTGTTGGTCGATTATAACCATGAGCACAGTGCACTGCACATACTTTCATTGGAAATATTCACGCAACATCAGTAATTCTGTATCAGAAGAAATTCGTCATATCTGCTTAGTGGAAACCTTGCATCCTGTATTCTCCTCATTCCCTGACATCTCATCAATGATCATCTGCTCCTCATCTTTGACCCAGTTCTCATATGTCCGATACAAGTGTGACTGATCCGCCGGATGATTACGATAGTATGTCTCATGGTTTATCTCGCAGACACCCTGCTCCTTCCCCATGTGGTCGGCGCAGAAAGCACGAGAACATAGAACACATAGCTGGGTTGGCCCGTTGTCTTTGAGGTATGGTTTCCTCATCCGCATTCTGTCATGAACGTGGCAGGGTCCGGCAGTAGAAAGTTGATACTGAGGGAGGGTTTGTTTAGCCTACTGAGAAGAAAGAAAACGGTTGGTGAGAGAAGGAAGATTACCATTGCCTGACGCTCGATTGAGCCGGGTTGAATTGATATATTGTGAAGGTAGATTTTTGAGGGCGAGTATGGGAGATGGGAATGAAAGGTCTGAATGACGGCTTTTTCGTTTTCCAATGAAGAGAGGAAAAGACAAGGAAGATATAGCTACTTGGGCAGAGTCCTGTTGGGCGCCATTGCGTCGCATGAGCTCGGACTCGACGCTGGTTGCGAATCCTGGTGTTATAGTATTATATACTAATACAAGTATAGAATAATATCCCAAATAATATATTGAGTATAGCGTAGTAACTGTACTATTCCATGAGGTATCCGTTCTTGCCCACGGATGAAAATAGAAACATGGCTCATCTGTCACTGCGGGGTGATTTCCTGAGAGACTTGAGGCGAGAAAAGGTTCCAGCCTTATTAAAGTGTCATCCTGGTAGTTAGTAATCGAACTTTATCAGGCGGTACTTCCATGTGAAGACCGTCAAAGTAGGACGGGGAGAAAGCGCCGTCGAATTGCAAGACCGGTTCGGGCATGAGGTATCATAACATATACTCCGAAGTGCCTAAGGAAGACAACAAATAGCGGGCGTGGCACAGGCAGTGTCACCGTCCTTCGTCTTACTTCCTCAAGAGGTCCTCAGTTGAGTGAGAGCCCGGCCGGACCTCGGTTTCCTTACCTAAGCCGCATCCGACGTCATTTGCTCCGGTCATTGTCGAAGGCTTTCTTGTGATACTCGGAGACCTCATCCTTTTTTTCTTTCCTCTCACCCGCTTCTCTCTTCGTACTTGGTCTGTCTTTGCATTGCCAAGCTACCGGAGATGAATGGGCACACTACATCACGAAACCAGCCCGATGGGCTTTCCACCACTAGCCGTACAAGCTCGAATAATGTTCAGAATGGAGAGACGAAACGGTATGCGCCTGCTGCCTATCTGCCTATATCCACCATGGGCCTCGAGCACATCCCCAACCTCAACGATATACTAATTAATTCTTGTGCAGTATTCACTGGGCGCCTCTCAACATTGGTCTAGAGCGTCGCTTGCAGACCTTTGTCGTGCTCTGCCACACCCTCACAATCGCAATTTTCCTAACGGGATTCTTCTTCACATGCGCCATACCCTTATTCTGGCCACTCCTACTCCCCTATCTCATCTATATCACTCTATTCTCGACCGCCGCCACCTCGGGAGAGCTCAAAGGACGGCGTAATTTCCTTCGTCACCTGCCCATCTGGAAAATCTATGCATCCTACTTCCCGGCCCGTCTTCATCGCGAGGAAGACCTCCCACCAACCAAAAAGTACATCTTTGGCTATCATCCCCACGGCATCATTTCCCACGGTGCATTTGCAGCCTTTGCCACCGAAGCCCTTGGTTTCTCCAAGCTCTTCCCGGGTATCACCAACACCCTTCTCACCCTTGACTCCAACTTCCGCATCCCCTTCTACCGCGAGTACGCCATGGCAATGGGCCTCGCCAGCGTCTCGCGCGAATCATGTGAGAACATCCTCAACAAAGGCGGCGCCAACGGCGAAGGCATGGGCCGCGCAATCACCATCGTGGTCGGCGGAGCTCGCGAATCGCTCAACGCCCAACCATCCACACTCCGACTCGTCCTGAAACGACGCAAGGGATTCATCAAACTGGCCATCCGCACCGGCGCAGATCTCGTGCCCGTCCTCGCATTCGGAGAAAACGACCTATACGACCAGGTTCGCGGCGATGAGCACCCGATCATCCACAAGGTGCAGATGCTGGTGAAGCGGACCATGGGATTCACGATCCCGCTGTTCCATGCGCGCGGCGTATTCAACTACGACGTTGGAATGATGCCTTATCGTCGGCCATTGGACATCGTGGTTGGGAAGCCTATCGCTGTCATGCAGCAGTCGAACCGGGATAGGATCGACGATAGCTACATCGATGAGCTGCATGCACGGTATGTGCAGGAGCTGGAGCGACTGTGGGATCGGTGGAAGGATGTTTATGCGAAGGATAGGACGGGCGAGCTGGAGATTATTTCGTGAGGCCGTTTGATCGGAGTAATTTACTCTTTTACTGTGGCACATTGATATTTGGCAATTATGCATAGCGAACTCACGCGTGCAGTTTATGTTTGGGTGTTTCTCGGTTCTACGTTAATACAGCGCGCATGCATAGCGCACACCGATTACGAATGAGACCATCGTACATCAACCCCCAACAAGATCATCATGAAGAAGGGATTGGAAAGGTTGTGTTGTCTCGAATGAACTGTAAACAATACGAGGAAATAATAATAAATACAATTCACTATGTGGGAAGACGGAAGTTCAATCACCACGAAAAGACATATTGGCTATAGAATAGAAAAGGGCGACCAGGAAAATGGCAAAAAGACACTATAGACTCAAAAGTCAAGGAGAGAACTGATCATAGGAAAAAGTCGCATGAAATGTATCGACGGGGTATCAGATCAACCAAGAGACTCAACAAAAAAAAAATCAAACACTACTAATAATAACAAGGGCGCAACTTCGCCCACAAAAGAATCGCAAAACACATGTTCAGAGAAAATTCGAGAAATCTCCCCACCCAAAACAAAATCATCATGAGGGTAAAGTTCAACAGGAAGACGTGCCATGCCAGGTTGGTGGGAGAGATTGAAGAGAAGGGAGGGAAGGAAGGGAAGAGAGCCAAGAATATTATGATTTGGACGGAGAACCCGGTGTTGGCTCCACCGAGATTGACGGCGTGGGAGTCAATGCTCGCACTTCTGCGGACACTGAGCCTCGTCGGCTATCCGTTGATAAATGCTTCAAGTGGCCGACGGAATTCCTCTCTAGATGACCACTTTCCACGCGGCTTTGGATCATTTCGTCGAGCATGCGAGAGACGTCGTCCACGCTTTTCCTTCGATCAGTGTCCTTTTCGCTCACCCGGAGCGAGGCAACGCGTCGTGTAGGACTGGGGTTCTTCTCGCTCGACTCGTTCGGAGGCGAAACATTGGTACTGCTTCGCCTTGAGGATGTGGTGTCCAATTTGACTCTCAGCTCTGGTATGGAGGACTCGGCCGTGACAACGGCCACATCTCGGTGGCGGGCAGCTGATCGGAGGGCTGCTAGCATTCGATCTTTATCGTCTAATTGAGAGCGGAGCTCGTTAATCTCCATGTCCTTCTCACGGAGTAATGTCGCCATGTCTGGATGCTCGGCTATCGTGGCTGGAGACGAGGCATTGGACTTGACACCCGCCGACATACGCGAGTGACTTGACCGACGGGCTTGCAGGAGCCGCCGTTCCAAAGTGGAGATGTATCGATTCTTGTCACCCAGGTCTGCCTGCAGTGCCGCAACCTGCCGCTGCAGACTGGCTTTGCCATCGCCGAACTCGCCCAGATCATCCTCTTCATCGTTGCCAAAAGAGCCGTTGATGTATGGTATGGAGGGATCACTGCTGTTGACAGACATGAAGGACATCGGTCGGATGGAGTGGCCCGCGCCCAAGGTTGACTGGCTAGCAGATGACCGAAGCGAGCGGGTACCCGCATCTGTGGAGGACATTCGGGACAAACGCCCAAAGGCGGAAGAGAGATTGCCATGGTGATTGACGCCGGTGGACTTGGAGCTCAGAATCAGGCGGTTCAGGTGCTCAATGCGTTCTTTCAGCGCAGTCCGCGCCAATTGCATTTCCAACACTTGCTCTTCATGTCGCGCCTGAGCCTCCTTTTCGAATTGTTGCTCATCCCACTTGAGCTCCTTCTCCGCCTGCGCCTTGGCTTGACTGTCCAGTTGGCCTCGAAGGGCCTGGATCTCCATGCGGTACCGCTCCAGAAGGACGCGACTGCCAGCATCACCGCCACCACTACCGTAAGCCTCCTCGGCCTTCTTCGCGTGACTGACAATGCTGTTCTTCGCCCGAGCCGCGAACTTCAATGTATTAAGAGTCTCACCCGAATGTGCGTTGATGCCATTGACCAGCTGGACTGTGCAGAGAATACTGACGAGGGAATTACCGGACAATGCAGGCTGCAGTAATCTCGTCAACTTAGAGTCACGATACGGCAAATGTCGACCATCCCGATCGATCGGGTTTCCCTGCTTATCCTTGCTGTCGGAGAGTTTCGAAATAATGTTTCCCAGAGTAAGCAAACTCTTATTGATGTGAGCACCCTCCGTCCGGCGTTCCTTGTCGTCAGCAGCCCGTTCTGAGCCCGCCAGATCGATCAAACTGAGGGTCGATACGCGAACGCCACCGGGAGGCATCGCAGCCCGTTTGTCCTGCGCATCCCCCGGTGGCACTCGCTCTCGACTCTCCACCACGATCTGCACCACGGCATGACTTCGCGAACTGCGCGCATTGAATTGCGTGCTACTCGTCCGTCGAGCATGATCACCTCGAGCGATCACTCGAAGTAGCTGAGTCGGGCTTTGCACAATCTCTTCCTTGAGCGGCGTCGCATACACGCCCCGCTTGCTGTCCTCGCGAAGCTTGATCTCTTCTTGCGGAGGGGCCGCAACGCCATTCGTGACCGAAGTGGAGAGCAGGTCGTGAATTTTCTCATTGTAAATCTCCAGGTAGCTCACCCGCAGCAGGAATTCACGATGCGGCGTTTCGCGAATGAAGGAGAAAATGTCGGTAATGGCAAGCGGAATCACACCGGGAGAAGTGGCAGTGCCTTGCATCGAAAATGTCTTGCCGGTACCTGTCATACCGTACGCAAAGACTGTCCCATGGTAACCTTCCATGACTCGTCGCACAAGCCGCTTGGCGGCAGCGTCGTACACCTTGGCATTGTTTTCTTGAGGTGTGAAGACATTGTCTGAGAATACGGGTGTTAGCGAGGAGGAACGAAACGCTTGCTAGGACAACACGTTCAAGGGGGGATCTCCTCCAACGTCCTGTCAAAATCTCCGCTTCACTCACCATAGTGATAATCACCCCCATCTTTCCCTCGATGAGAAATCAGGCTCCGACGGCCGTCCAGCGACCACTCGCCATGATTTCTCGGGGTCTCTCCTCCGTTACTCGTATCAGGACGCACCCGAACGCTGACAATCACATTTCCCTTAGATTCCTTTGTTTTGCCGCCCTTGGCAGCTCCCACGGAGTCTTCCGTATCCTCAAAGGTGGTCACACTCGTCGAACATGACCCCCCGTCGACGAGCTTCGGCTGTGCGACGGGGACGCATCTGGGTCCCGTGTTTCCACCTGTATCGAATTCCCGTCCGCGCTACCGTTCAATAATGACGGCGGTCTGGAACTGCGATGACTCGCCACAGTGCCGGTACTCAGGCGAGAACTTCTCCGTCGAAGCTTCGCATGACCACCACCGCCCGCGGCGGCGGGACCCTGTACGCCCGGTATGGTGGAAGCGGCCGTCGAGGGACGGCTAGCTGCTTTGGGGGGCTGTGGGAATGAAGCGATACTAATCGTTCGTCGCAGCGCCTTGTCGGGACTGCTCGGTGTGCGGCCGTTGGAAACCGACCGTACCGTCGTCAAATTGGTAGTGGAGCTGGAGTTGGAGAGCGGGGAACGGCTGAGGGATGGAGGGCGTGGACTCGATGGAGTGCGCAACTTGGATGGCTGGTATGGAGACGCGGATCGAGGGCCCTCCGGTACTTGCATTGTTTTGCGGGCTCTCGCGGTTGGGAGGGGAGGTAAAGAAGCGGTTGGGGGGGTTGTGGATGGCCGAGAGGGCGGTGGAAGGGCGGACAGAGACGCCATGTTTTGCGATGATTTGAAGAACCCACTGATCACCGGAGATTGTGGTTTGCTCACTCCACGGCAGCCCTTCCCCAAGTGTCCACTCAAGCGAAGACCAGTGGATAAATATTTAGCATGCGTGTTTGACCTTTCGACGTTGAAAGTATTTTAGATTTGACGGAGTCGCAACGTCGCAGTATGGTATCGGTGTTGTTTTTTTTTTTTAGGTGTCCTCTCCTCCGTTCGTTGCTATTGCGACCTGGATGATCGACCACTTTGGGCGCGGGGGTGGGTGAAATTAGGAGACTGTCAACATACGGCCTAATTAGTCCACGGAATTCCGATCCACCAGTGCAGTGTACTCGAGTCCTCGAGTATCGATCCGGGCAGCTTGTGCAGCGCCTGACAAGGTACTCTCTGGTCATGATACACTTCCATCCACCGAGCGACTCCCATTGAACGTCGAAATTTCAAAGTAGCTCCCAAGTGTCGTAGACATAACCCAGATCTAGAAAGAATGTGGGGAGGGGGGGGTTCGCGCGGAGTTTTCGGATACTTACAGCTTCAAATAAGCATAAGCATGCGTTGCGATCGCGACGGGAAGAGAGAGGGAGAGAGCGTGGAAAATCGACGCTATAGAAACCCCCACGAAAGCACGGATAGCGCCCTGACGGTGCTCAAGTCACGGGTGTATGAGGAAGCGAGAGATGATCAAGGAAGAAAAAGAAAACGCAAGTCAGGCGATCTATTAGTCTTTACAGGAGCGCCGATCCTTTTTGGCAAAGGATCAAAAGATAAGCAACCGTGGAAACCGAGCGAGAATGGAGAACCCGATGTGAACGAGTGGCGGCGGACACGGGGAGTGAGAGTTGAATAAGTAACCCGCTGAGATGGGGACCGGAGATCGAGACGTAAAACGTGAATTTTGGTGACAGTGAGCGGAGGATAGGGCAGAGTGAAGGGCAAAAGTCAAGGGCAAGAAAGGCAAAAGCAAAGGAAACCTGTGAAGGTTGCCAGGAATCGGAAATTCTTACGAATTGACCCTTGAAAGAGGTATTCAAGTGGGAGACTCCCCGCGCAGGAAGGAGACACTGAGAGAGAGAGAGAGAGAGAGAGAGAGAGAGAGAGAGAGAGAGAGAGAGAGAGAGAGAGGGAGGGAGAGAAAGGGTCGAAATGGGTCGGTCCCTGATGAAGGAATCAGTTTACTCAATTGACCTTAAATGATTTATGGAGGTGCAAAAGCAGTTCACACTTCACATGATAGACACTAGACACACCATCACCGTACCTGCAGTGGTCAATAATGCAGGTACTCTTCAGAAGCTCAGACGAACTACAACTCTCGTCGCAGACACGAGAGTACTCTGAATGCCTGCAGGCTTGATCTCAGCATTCGCATCTCACGATCCAAGAGTGGATGATTTACGCAGCCCAAAAAGAACTTTTCTTCGCGTCCAAATTATCCCCGGCAATCCACGTCGAATCAGATGGCCGATGCAGCACCAAGATGATCACTGAAATCATCAATTGCCCTGGCACGAGCGAATCATTCCCTCCTGAAGGTCCTCAGAAGGAGTTATTCTCCCCCTCTGGTCCCTTCTCCAGGATTTGCCTCCTCTAGGGCTTCTTGAGGCTCAGAGACCAGAGTCAAGATAGGCAGTCATCCCGTGGTATCCTTGCCCTCCCTAGACCACCGGGATCTCTCCAAGGCATTGTCAAGTCATTGCCACCGAAAGGAGACCGTGAGTTACCCACATCCAGAGTATCAACGCAGAATCCAGTATGTAGTATACTCTACCACAGGCGGTACGACTTCCTCACTCCTATCGTCGAGACCCTCACGAGTCATGAAGAGTGAGATGCTCAAATCTATATCTGGGGTTCGACAATTCCCATGTGAAAGCTCAATCTTAAATGACCGCATGTAATCTATTCACAATCCTTGGCTTCGCGGAAGAGCTCTCAAATGGAAAAGGGGGCAAATTTCGGCAGATGTGCTTCAGCGCCGGGCGTGGAGCGAGCAACGACCCGACCAAACAACAATCATAGTCCGGCGCTCCCAGTGGTCAAGGGCCGTCGTTCCTGGCTGGTCGTGAACGAATTCAGTCCAATGGCACGCGTTGACATGGGTGGAGGTGCTCGTTCGGGGACCCCCAACGGCCGCGAGCCTTTGAAGCTTTAGGATTTGGGAAAGAGAGCTCCCGAGCCAGTAGAGAGACAAAAAAGGGGCAGCCGAGAACATGGAAAGTTCAGAGCGCATCCCCGCTGGTGGAGCCGTGCGTGATCAAATCAACGTGGGAACGGCTTGTTGGGTTCTGAGGCCAAACAGATTACAGGACACTGGACGGTGGACACATTTAAGGAGGAGAGGTGGCGTCGAAATGGACCGTGGTGACCAAAGGAGGCGTGGGACTTGCGAGGGCAGTTGAATCCGCCTGCCAGTAGACGCGGAAGCGGGTAAGGTAAGATAGCCTTCGAAAAAAAAAGAAAAGCCCCAGAAGGAGGTCGTTACAGTCAGGTACGTACCGTACACAACCCATGGGACCTGAATCACTCTGATAAGGCTGGGATGTCGTACTCTCGAGGTCTGAACTGCATGTCTCCAACAAGGGCATCAACATCCCTTCGCAAGGCACTGACTCTAGGCAGTATGCACTAGGAGGATGCAGTCTGCACCCTGCACAATGCGACTAGAGCACACCAGCACAGTCATGAATGACACTTGCATCAACTTATGGATTCCATGAGATCCGGGAAGTTGGGACGAGCCCGAGTCATCATTGATCGACCATGAATCAGCCCAGACTGGGCAGTAGGGCCGACGCTCCTGAGCAGGTCTGAATAGCTTGGACCAAAGCTAGCCAGGGTAGTGATCATATAGTGCTGCAACCTCGCACGGGGACGTTTTCATCACCCGCCAACAGCAGCGAAGATATCCCGATCACAGATTCCCATTGTGCGTTCGGGATCGCGGTTGAGTCACGATTCATGGGCGAATCCAAACGCCACGCCTCTTTCCACCAGAGATCCGAAACAGCGTCGACTCCGTCGAGCACCTCCTCTCCCCCATGAGTGAAAGACTCGACGTGGATCCTCCTTTTTGATCGTCGCTCCACCGTCACCACGGCATTCTCCGTAGTCACCACTTACAATGCAGTGAAAGTACCATGCGGGCCGGACCCACCCTCCTAGAAGAGACAGACGAACATGCTCAGGGCTGTAGTGGGTGCGTGCGGATGGTCTCGGTCCTCTTTTTCAACACTGCGTTGTGCGTTCGAGGTTCGTTCACTTCGGGCCCCGTCCGAGGTCGAGGTCGAGTCCTGTCAAGTCTGTACGCCAAAGGCGAGCCACAGAAAGCCAAACGCACAACAGAGAAAAAAAGGTAAGACATTCTGATACGTGACAGCCCGTGAGGATGAAGATGAGAGCAAAGGCCTAGAGCTGGGGCCCAGATTCAGTGATGCCCCAATTCTTCGAGGGAGGTGGGTTCTCAGTTCGAAGCAATCCCCTTCATGAGGGAGAGGAGTGTGGGCGGAGGGAGGGAAACAGTGAATCAGAGATCCATCAGGGTCGAACCCCTGTTTCTGCGAGATTCTTCGGGACTGTCGATCCGGAAGAAATAGTAGGCGTAACATGAACACATCAACACTAAACGCAGTAGTGTATCTGCGAAAAAGGCTGGTAATCTGGCTTCCATCGAGGACTTGTGCCGGTGCTTGTGTCGGTTCCTGTGTCTGTGCCTGGTGAGAGACCCAGCCTTGGTCTTGAGTGCCCTGGGCCCCGTACTTACTGCACAAGATGCGCTGATGCCGAAGATCTGACTCGCCGAGTGGGAAATCAAAAGGCTGAATGCATGCAGTAGATCGGCAACCAATGCAAGGGAAGTGGGACAAGATGCAACTACCGGGCGCGCCCCATCCCAGCAGGGTCATGTCTATTGGTGTCCCTCACTGTTTACATGCTCGGAGATGGATACTATCGTCCATGATGGATCGATTCGATCGAAGCTTCCATGCGCTTGGATCGCGTAGGGACAACATGACAGGTTCAGGGGATCGTGCGGATCAGGCAGATCAACAACGTACACCTAGGTAGTCAGTGGACTGCCACTCGACTCAGTAGAACTAGACTCAGGACTTGTAGGACCGTGGTCACAGGATTCAGATTAAGATGAATCCACCTACAGTAGGCTCTGCAAGCATTGCATGCAGAGCCATGACCTACTTCTGACATGGAGTCACTATAGACTCATAGAGAGGACCACCGGACAAGTCACCCTTCTGCGCACTGTGGTACGCCTCGTACCTGACAACAACATGGTATATATTATAGAATAGACTGTGTCAGTGTCAAGTTGTACAGCATAGGCTATTTCGAGGTAGAGGACGTCCACCACTCCCGCAAAATTGCAGGGTAGGGCCGGGCTGATGAGAACAAATATATTTCTGCGCTGTATCTCTCATCCTTCTATGATGAAACTTTAGACAGCCTGCATGTTCAAGTGATGTTTCCTGCCAGGGAAGAAAACAAGATTGCTTGTGTTCAACTGCGCACGCATACAACTATTGGTCTGGTCTATCAAGTCGAATCCGAGCGAGATTAGGGATCATGTGAGGTCAGCCCAGCTATCATCCCATTCCCTAAGTCGACAAAGGGTGCAAAACCCAAACAGACTAATTCCAGTGTGACAGGAGGGCTTGAATGGTGGGATGACGAAGGTTGCATTCTGATCCTCATCCTCCATAAATATAGTCACTTACCTACACAGATAGTTCATGAAGGGCGGCTACTCTGAAGCAAAGGCAAATGAGAAATGTGAGAGTTCACCAGGTTCATGATCATGCATCAAATTGGGTTCATCAAGATAGGTCTATTCATGGTCATCATTTCTTGCCACCAAAGTCCAACTGCCGAGCAGCATTTTTGAAAAGCCCCTCGTCGGTCTCCCCCCCAACGCGGGCCAAATCATTCCCCATCTTCTTAGTCCCCGATTTCCGTGGGAGATCTTCATTATTCGTTGGTCGTGGCTCTGTGGTCCACCATCGATGCTGCAGCACCTGCAGTGCAGTAGCGCGCTTCCGCGGATCCAAAACACACATCGACATGAGCAGATCAGCCCCCACCGGACCAGCCGTAGGGAACTGTCTGAGGAAGAAATCCCGACCTTGCAACGGCACCACCTTGTCCGTCACATAATTGGGCAGTTGAGTGACACCCGGCCAATTCTCCTCCGTCGGCGTGCCGAAGGCCTCGCAAATTTTGGTGATCTGGTCCAAATCAGACATGCCGGCTAGCAGAGGCACGCGGAGCAACAATTCGGCAAAGACCATGCCCATGGACCAGACGTCCACCGCCCCCGAGTACTGCCGTGCACCGAAAAGCAGCTCAGGAGGTCGATACCAGCGAGTGATGACTTGATGAGTCATGTTCAGGTACGGATCTGCAAACGACCGTGCCAGACCGAAATCAGCCAATTTGACCTCGCCGTCGGCCCCGATCAACAAGTTGTTCGGCTTGATATCTCGGTGAAGGACGAAGTTCTCGTGGCAAAACCATACCCCGCGAGCTAACATGCCCATCCAAGCTTTGATGTCCGCCGCACCGTAATGTATATCTCCGTCCTTGATCAACATCTCCAAGTCCCCACCGGGGAGAAACTCTAGTACCAGGTTGAGATTCTGATCCTTGGAGGAGAAGACGTCGTGCAGAGCAATGATGTTTCGATGCGAGAGCTCCTGGAGGTATTTGACTTCTCGAATGGCGTCCATTGTAAGTCCATCTTTATATTCTGCATTCACTTTGATCTTCTTGATGGCAACAAGGGAGGACGGATCGTCGCGGTAATTGCCAAGGTAAACAATGGCGTATGTTCCTTCACCAAGCTTCTTGCCTATAAGGAATGATCAGTTTTAAGATTCTCGAGTCCGCATCATATACCCTGGCGCAGGATATTCTCCGTGGAGGGGTCGCTAAATTAGAAGGCGAACCTTTGACGTATTTCCGTCGGATATCATCGTTCAGCTGTTCCGCAAGCTCGCGTTCAGGATTCAGATCTGATCTGATGATCGTTGAAGTCGATGCAGATGCATTCTGTGGCGCGGCTGCCGCCGCTTTCAGCCGTAAAGCAGAGTTTGGCGATGCGACTGTGACTGCAGGCGAGCGAGAGCCGAATGGGGAGAGGGCCATGGCGGGAATCGATCGAGCGTCAAGGCTCGATGGAGCTGATGTGAGGCGAACGCAAAGGCGCTAGGAGACTTGGAGTGACCCGACCATGAAAACTTTCATAGAATCACTTTCGTGGGTTGATAAAAAAAGATGAGAGGTACTACTTTTCGAGCAGAGTGACAAAGAATATATGACTTTAGAAATTCCAAAAGTAAGTAAGTTGCATGTTCCAGCAATTCTATGGGCCGATTACATCGTCTCGCCGTCCAGCATTGAAAGCGCCCGGAGTATCGTTGATCCCGAGCTGGGGGAGCCGCCTTGTCTCCGAAATTTCTCAGCGCGGCCAAACAGTCAAAACAGGTACGGGCAACCTCGAACTCGGACCAGCTGAACGACATTCTCAAGTCCCGGAAATTGCCAATCCACCGGACATCGGAATTCAAAGTCCTTCTTCAAGTAATCGAGGCGCGCCAATTACTCCTCAAAATCCCACACATATCTCATATACCTACCGCCGAAGGTCTACAAGCCTCGGGGAGAAAGAGCTCGACTCGACCGCCGAACCACCAACTCATCCTCCAGCAGCAGCCGCAAGACACCAAAAAGAAAATGGCGATGCGCAACCCCCAGCTCTGGAGTCTCCCCTCCCGCATCAGCCAATCCATCACCATCTCCAAGCAATGCATCCGAAGCCTACATCGCAAAACCGCACCCTCAGTGCCCTCCCCGACCCCCTTCGTCCCCGATGTCCAAACCTTCCTCACCCTCATCGGCCGTGACATGTCCAAGCAAGCTAGCAAAATCCCTTCCTGGGAAAGCCTCTTCACCTCCACCTCAACCCAGCTCCGCGATATGGGCATCGAGCCCGCCCGCCAGCGCCGCTACCTGATCCGCAAGCGCGAGAAGTTCCGCAACGGCGTCTACGGACCCGGCGGTGACCTGGAGCAAGTCGTCGACGGGGTGGCACAATTACGTGTGGTGGAAGTCCCCCGTGAAGCCGGGAGTGTGGAAAAGGTTACGGCCAATGCTGTTGCGGGCGCTGCCGCGGAGGGCATCAGTTCGGCGACGTTGACTCCGGGGATGAAGAAGGCGATTGTGAACTTGGCTCCCGAGGCCACTGAATACAAGCACAGTCCGTCTGCGGTGCTGAAGAAGTTTGCGCATATGAAGATTCACCGGGGCTCGAAGATTATGGGCCCGTATTTACAGCCGATCAAGGGGTCTCATGGGTCTGCGGCTACAATCACGGTGCAACCTGGTATGTGGGAGGATAAACGAGGACACAAGGTCGACGGTGGAGAGCGACGACGAACCGAAGTGCGAGCGAAGAAGCGACTCGAGGAGATCAGGAAGGCGTAGATCTTTTGATTCTTTGAGGAAGAAAGGTGTCAACGATCCACTTTCGCTTGCTGTGAGTGTATTCCATCCTTTTCGCGGGTAGTAATGGGAACGCCCGGCCAGTGTGGAAGATGTATTTTGTGTTCTCGTCTTTGCGAGTCGATTTTTTACGCGTTTTGCAATGTATTATACTGTCACATGTAGAATCTCAGATCGAGGGATTTGGTCTGCCCTCTTGTCACTATCAGGACTATGACTGAGCTGATACAAACCGAGGGAGTCAATTCCCAATAATAAGTGTCTTTAGCAATCATCAATCGAGGACACATCGTCAGCGCAAAAAAAAATCGCGACTTCTTTTAAAGGTATCCTTAGCACAAAAATGATGAAATTGCCAATGATTCGTCTTGGATTAATAGTATATTGTATCAAGGGACATGGTATGCACACGTAGAGTCACGAACATAATGGTCGTATCCGGCGGACGACAGAGTTAAGAGAAAAACACAAATGTGTATCATATACAAGAAAGTCCAATCTGATCATGCTTACGGCGTCAAAGGTGGAAAAGGAGACCGGAAGGAACATGAAGCGCACATTGAGACGATGTCCCACAGCAAACACTTCTCTTCCAATCCCAGTCACATGCATCGCCTCCGGAGGGGGAAAAAGGTCATTAAGGTAGAATGGAGAGAGCAATGAAAGTGTAAAGGAGACTCCAACCCTCAAAATCTAAAGGATCAAGCTGTTTCGAAACATTGAGAAAAGGGTCCGTTCCAAGTACGCGAATGAGCGATTTATGCCTTCACATCGCGCTTCTCGTAATGGACGAATGACTTGCCCAGGGGCTTGGAGAACAGAGACTAGTGAAGGTGAATAAGGTTAGTCTGGATCACTTGGCTACAAAAATTTGCAAAAGCGGCAGACAAACGGAAGTCCACTTACTGAGAAGTCTGTATCGGGGATGCCAGCGACATTAGGCGGGTTGGAGAACTTGAATTGCCGGACCAGAGCCGCGAGAATCGTGCCCAGCTGGACGTAGGCAAACTGCTCGCCGATGCAGCGGTGACGACCGGCACCGAAGGGCAGGTAGGGACTGTTGGTACCCTTGCTGACGAGACCATAACCGTAATCGATCTTCTCCTCATCCGCATCCTCCTCATCGAGCTTACCCGCGTTAGGCTCATCCCAACGGTGGGGGTTCCACTTGAGAGGCTCGGGGAAGTACTCCTCCAAACGAGCACTGACACCGGGGGAGGAGAGCACGTTGTGGGAAGTGGGGATCACGTAGGGAGTTCCTTCGATGGGCATGGGGTTCTTGACGGCGCGCATGATGGAGTGAATGGGGGCGTGAATGCGGAGGGTCTCCTTGATAACCTTGGAGTGGAGATCGAGCTTCTGCAGGGACTCGTAGGTCAAGTCCGGCAGATCCTCCCCAAGAACACGGAGCTGCTCCTGGTACAGTTCCTCGATGATCTCGGGGCAGGTGGCCAAGCGCAGGACGATCCAAGCCGCGGTCGAAGAAGACGAGTGTTGGCCAGCCATCAGCAGCGCAATCATCATGTGAGCAATTTCCTCATCGGGGACCGGGGTACCGTTCTTGTAGGTGCAGGACATCAGATTCCAGACCATATCCTCGGAGTCCTTCTTGCCACCAGCCTCACGACGCTTGCGAATGATATCCATATAGAGTTCGGTCAGCTTACGCTGAGCAGCATCCCGCTTGCGGTTGTGAGGAAGAGGAGCCCAGGGCAGCATGAAGTTGATGGGAGCGAAACCCATGTCAAGATCGTGATACATGACGGCGAAGGTGGAGTCGAAGCGGTCGCGGACCTCCTTGCCCTGCAGAGAGCGGGAAGCCGTGTAGATGGTGATTTCTGAGATGACCTTGCACACGTCAAAGGTGCCCTGGGGGTCCTTGAAGGCCGGGGAGGTCTTGACGAAATCATTCACTTCGTCGGTGATCAGACGGACGTAGGAGCGGAGAGCCTCAGAGGTGAGGCCAAACTTGACAAACTAATTTCAGGCCCATCTTCGGTTAGTATGCGCGCTTGGAGGAAGAGAAGTAATGGGCGCATTTCCCGATTCTCACCTTCTTCTGCTCCATGAGCTTCGAGTTGGGACAGTCATAGACGACATTGCTTCCGAACACGGGGGTTGTCAAAGGCGAGTACACCTCCTCGGCGCAGACGTCCCGGAGCTTGCCATTCAGAATGAACTCGTTACCCTTCGTACCGAGGTAGACGGTCGTCTTCTTGCCCAGGAGAACGAATGTGAAAATGTCGCCATACTGCGAGAGGACACGTTAGGCGCACGATCAACAGCGCACAATGTACGGAGACCACGATATCACTTCAGACCACACATACCTTGGCGCGAGCGTTGTTGAAGAACTTAAAAGGGTCGATGCCGTAACTGATCGTGCTGCCCACGAAAGGAAACCAATGGAAGACGACAGGAGGTTCATGAGGGTTCTTGAACAAGAGCTGGCGCAAGACGTTGAGAACCACGGCCAGCGCAATGATTGACACAGATGCGACTGAGAGGAGTGCGAAGATCGACTGCGAGGAGCAATGCTCGCAAACTCGGTCGATCAACGCGTTCAAGAGACCCATGTTGAATCGACGGTATACAGGCTCCGGGGGTCAGGGGTCGCGGCGGGAGAGTGAGTTTGAAATAAAAAATAAAAAAAGTAGAACACCACAACAGACAGGTTTCGAGGCCTTGACGGTGGACTTGAAAGTAAGTTGGGGGTATGTCACCAAAGTCAAGCAGGACTCGGCTGTCGAGAGGCTTTGAGTGTCCTGACTGTCGACAGAAACCCGTGAATTGCAGATGGTCAAAAAAGGGAAGGGGAGGCGGTGCCCGAATTATAATCATCTCCACGGCCACTTTCGGTACCGGTGGAGACCCGCCACTCCGTCTCGTACGATCGATTGCCCGCCTGGCCCGAACGGTCGACCGCCTGGTTCCTGGCTCGAGGACCCTTTGTAGTTTACGGCTTCTGCAGGTGAGATTTCCATTACCCTTCCAGACTGGACCAGTGAGCATAGAGAGGTTGGAAAACAAAGTTTGGCGCCTTGTTGGTGAGAAGTCTATCAATCTCGATGTCTAGTAATCTGATCTTTGTGAGATTTCGAGGGACTACTATAAAGACTGGGGACGACAAAATGGGCCTTCTTAACTCCGGAGTCTATAGTCTACAACAGTGTCCGCTCCTGTAGTTTGGACGTATGACCATACGGCTAATTGTCGAGCCGGCCTGACCGTCTCTGTGTTTTTTTTTTCTCGCCTGGCGCCAAGTCGCTACTTCACTCTCAAAACACTTGGTTATTCTATCGCTTGAAATGTACCTACGCGGTACCTGTCAGACTCGTGGCTTGACTTACGGCGACCATGAAGAGCATTTGGGGTGTATGAGACTTGACAGTCAACCATCAACCGTGTACGACTGGATACTTTTATCGACTCGATAGTCTATACTGTAAAATGCAAGCACACCCACACCGCATACGAGGTATGGCACATGCGTTAGCTCAGAGTTAGGTAGACACCAACACAAATAACACCCGCATAGGTAGGAGATGAGTCGACGACTCGACAGACGTTACCTTACGCCGCACACTCTGTCATCATCTTCAGGCCAAAGATGTCGCCCCGCTAGGTCAAAAAGAGCCCTGCAACTCGTACTCAAATTGTCACCATAGATGATATCACGACTACCTCAGATGAGCCAGCTACAGTCCATACAACAAGGCCAAGAAGGCCAAGGAGGCCTCTTGCATCCTGATTATCTCCGCAAGCCCCGCCTCAGCCAGCAGCCCGAGTCAGGTATTCAGCGGCGGTCACTCTCGCGCTGACACAAGCACAACAGACCATTCCATCAGGCCACCAGCTGTGGACAAGGCGGGCTCGGTTGGACGAGCTTCCGAACATCTGGTGTCTTCTGAGGAAGGGAAGAGGGGAGACAGACAGGGATAGCGGACTGGGCACGATGCACGAGGCCATCTCACATGAATTGGGTTGACTGGCGCTGAAGGAATTACGTCCAATTTGTTTGTTTCAACAGTCGGTGCAGCTTGAGGAGCGGGCTGTGAGGTGTCCACGACGACTCCGTTGAGTGACATAAATAGTAGTTGGATGTCAGTGGAGGCGGTATCCAGGCCAGTGCGATAATCGCTGTAGACGTGTCTAAGCAGATGGGTGGGCGGTGGATGCGTTGGACTGAGGCACATCAAAATTGGTACTTATCAGTCCGAGCTACGTGGCACAAGAGGATGCTACCTTACATCCCGCATGGCTCTGGGAATGATCACTGCCTGGGAAGGGGAAAGGGAGATAAAAAGGGGACGGTCTGCAGATGCGCCGAAGATATCTCCCAGAAACGCCAATGTCTTAAACCGAGCCAGTATAACAAGATTATAAACACATCTCATGAAGAGCCCATCTGAAGAGGCACCAGTTCCATCCAAAGCACGACCCCTGAGTTTTTTCCGTCATATCCCCATGTCCAAAATAATTAAAACGGTCGCGGATGGTATCGACCCAGGAGTCAAGCTATATATAAACTGATAACGGACTCATCCGTAGAAAGAAGGTAGGCAGCTGCTCGTGCCTATGATGACCAGAGGTCAACGGGCACGAGCGGCCTGGCGAGATGGGTTTGCATCCCAAAAAGTCGGTGCATAACAGGTCGCCCAAACTCTTCTCATTCATCATACAGCGCAGGGTCCCCGGCTTGGCCCAAATTGACAAAGTCTTTTGGGTCTCGATCACCTCGGGGAGAAGGCTGATGGGCTGTCGTCGCGGATGGTCGGTTGTGCACGCGCTTACCCACTTCATTCTTATGATATACCTTGACTGGGGCTTCGCTGCCCTCTGCATGCTCGCTAAAGTGGACGTCGTTGACGCTGCTGAGCATCGTGCGCTCCCGTTCGACCTTGCGCTTTGAAAAGTCCAACTTGTCGAGCGCGGGCGTAAGGCCGTCAATACTGTCATTGACACCGGGAAACTTCTGTGTGAGCCACGGGTGCTCCAGACATTCGTCCACCGTGATTCGTTTCTCGACGTCTACCGTGAGCATCTTGTCAATGAGATCAAGCGCGGGGTCGCCCACGGAGTCCCAGTACGGTGACGGGTAGTCGAACCGACCCATCTTGATCTGCTGCGCCAGTGTATATGGATTCTCTCGGGTGCATAGCTCGTCCGAGAACGGAGGGAAGCCGCAGAGACAGATGTATAGAACCACTCCCAGAGACCAAATATCTACCGCCTTGGTATATCGTCGACGACGGGTTTCCTGAAGAATCTCCGGTGCGACATCTAGATCAGTCAGTAGTCAGAACAGCAATTTGACATCCCGTATTGGGTTTTTTCGAGGCCAAACATACAACTGGGTGTACCGCAGCTATTAATTCAAGTCAGTATGACAGCAGCTTCTCCAACCGTGACTATGATAGGACAAGGCAAAGAGAGCTAAGGAAAACTCACAGGGTGGTGGTGAAAGAGTCCTCGCCAATGATCTTGGCAAGGCCGAAATCACCTAGTTTGACGGTCAATTTCTTGTCCGCCACCAGAATATTTTCTGGCTTAATGTCACGGTGAACAATGCCTCGGTCATGCTAAAGATTGGTATGAAACTGGATCAGCAAATGATCCCTGCCGAGCGAAGACCGGCTATGCCCAGTCAGATCTTACCAAATACTTCAATCCCTCAAAGAGTTGTCGGAAGACGTGTCGAGATTCCGCTTCGCTCAGCTTTTGTTTGGTCACAATCAAATTGAACAGTTCACCTTCAGGCGCAAGCTCCAAGATCAGGTACGCCCCGTCTGTCTCATCAAATGTATCTTTGAGACACAAAAGATTCGGGTGATTGACGCTCATCAAAAGGGCAATCTCCTGCTGCAACGCTTCGTTTTGAGACTGCGATTTTTGCGAGTCACCTGGTCGTTTCTCAAAGACTTTAGCGGCATACTGCTTCCCCGTGGTGCGGTCCGCACACAGGTAGACCGTCGCGAAGTGGCCCTTGCCCAGTTGTTGAAGCTTTCGGTATTGGTGACGAAAGGCACTCGCGTCGCGAGTACGCGGGTACCGGAAGACGAATCGCGCTTCATTCAAAATTGACACCTCATCCCGATCCTCAAGCTCCCGATGCTTATTGCGTCCTACCAACGCGTCATTGACAAAGGTTCCATTGCTCGACAGGTCTTCCAGCATGGCAACGACATCCCCTTTCCGCTTCTCCGAGAAGAGCAGGAAGTGGCGATTAGAGATGGTCGGACTGTTGATAACCAGATCTAAGGATTACAGCAGCAATGTTAACTTATGGTATCAACTGCCTGAGCATATCCTGGTGGCGAAAGGGTGTTAACGAACCACACTCCGGATGACGGCCGACTAGGTATCCGCCAGGCGCACGATTGTCCTTGGCCCTTTTTGTTTCCAACTTCTTGTCCTTCTTGTCATCTGCGGGCTTGTCGCGACCCGCACATCCCTCGCGGTGCTTTAGGACGAAAGGACCGCTTACACTATCATCGAGCGGAATCAAGTATCCCCATACCCCCTCCGCGCTCTCGTCATCGACCTCGTCTGCGTACGACCGCGGCGGATAGATGAACTGTGACAAGGCTTGCGTATCTCCCGGTGGGGAGGAGTAGGCTTGGGATGGAGTGAGTTCCCTCGCTGGAGTCCGCTGGCGGTCCCGCTGGTCGGAACTTGGCTGAGGAGTTGCTGTATTCTCATTGCGAATGTCCGTTGCCGTTGAATGACCGTGGGTCAGTGGAGTCGGCAGATAGTCGTGAATGACAGGCGTCTCCAGAGGTTCAGGTTGTTGTTGACTTGAGATTCTCTGCGAGCGACGCGGTTTCTTCAATTCTTGCGAATCGGCATCAATGCTGTGCTGTGACAGGAGCAAAGAACCTCGTCAGCGCCTGCGAGGTCTCAGACCTAATCACTAAATCGACTTACTCGACCTCGCTTGAGGGAGCTTTTCTCACGAGGGGCCATGGCGCTCTCTAGGCTTCCATTCGGATCCCGGCTTGAACTTCTGGCACACACGACGGAACCCAATGATCGGGATTGCCAGAATGAGGCTCCGCGGAGTGGTGGGTGTTGGACCACGTCAGACAACGACACCCAGTTTCGGAGAGTTGCAAAGCGTAGACCCGTATCGCCCGAACCTTGGAACCCACCGAGGCCAGATGCACAAGATTTCACAAGAAAACCTAGTGGTCTCTGATGAAGGTCAGGTAAGATGAAAGAACTGGGGCCGACTCATGGAGGCTCTCAGGAAGCTGCATTCTCGGAGGAGCCATCAGCCGCCCGCTACCCGCTCCAACAGGTCAAGTTGCAAAGGACCGAAGCTGTCAACAGATCTCTGTATGCCAAAACGTTGCCGACTGGAACATAAACACGGTGTTTTTCCCAATCCAGCAAACTTTAATTGTGAATGAGAATTGTCGTGTAACCTCTCGAAAAGGTAAACATTTCAAGATCAAGCGATGAGTGTCATAAAAGGTGATCGCTGTGTACCCGGCTGGGCCGATTTAGTACTGTAGGTACCTTGTAAATATACGAAGCTTCCCCGGAATGACATCGCTTGACTGCTTCGACCTTATCAAGTGGCATTTAGGCAGGACATGTGAGCTAATGCAGATATACCCTTAATAAACTGAGCCTAATGTTTGTCATTACAAAGGTCATCCCCCACGTTTATATGACATCTTTCAAGTAACGAAACTCTGGGTGATCAACCCAGAAGTGTCCCCTGAGTCCAGCCAAGATTGCCCGTACCTCGCGCATGTCAACACGTGCCTCTCCGTTCCTCGTTCACATTCCCCAGATTCTCGAAGGGACCCTCGAGTCCAACTTCTTTCTTCCCCAAACAAACACGGACTCAAGCTGAGAATGGACGGGTAAGTCAAGACAGTCTCATCTCATCCGGTACTTAGCAACAAGAATAGGATCCTAAAACTAATCGACCCTAGTAGACTCTCGGTCGGCATTCGACGCTCGGCCTTTGAGAAATTGGCGGCCTTGGCCGTCAAATCCCCAGGCAATGACGATGTGTCGGACCTCGCACGCCTTGTACGACAGACTCGACACGCACGTCAACCGGACGGAAACGCAAATGGAGCGCTCGCTGAACAAGCTCCAACGTCCCGAGTTCCCATGGTACGCTCATGTCTTCCGTTCAGTTGAACAGCGGGGCCTTGCATACACTAACATTACGACCTTTGTACAGGGACTCCGTGAGTTGGATGTCTTACTTGCGCTGTGTAGCGCAGCCTCCTCCGTGAGTGACCCGGAGCATGCCAACCGCCTGGCATCGCAATTGTCTCGCTATTTGCCAGAATCACCAACCCAATTGTTCCGCCCATCTCCTTTTCTTCACCAGGTCAAGCCGTCGCCATGGGAGACACTCTCCCACGGCCTCACCAAGGCGCTTTTGACACTGGCGACGAAATTTCCATCTTTGCGAATGGTTGCACTGGATGCGATCAGTGGGTTCATGAAAAACTGTGCAGATGCAGTGGACGCTATTACACCACTGCAGTACTCTCTATCGGAGACGGGTGGGAAAGGCGTAGTACATGAATCCATCGCCGTACTGTCAATTGCAGTGTCACTGGTCGGGTTTTTGGAAGCCGCTGCCCTGTGTACCGCAATCTGGACGGCTGAAGAGAAATTGCAAGTCATCGACCATCTGCGGTCAATGGTGTCTGAACCGTTCATGATTGCCGTCGAGACCGCTTCATCGACGGTGCGCAATGCCGGCCACTCCGACATTCCAATCAAAGATTGGCGGAGGTTCTCCAAGCGTTACGCGACGCAGGGTCGTCCGCTGGGTGCCATGCTCGTGCAAGAAGGACTCATGCAATTTGTCAAGTCCTGCGCTGTGTCACTGATTGGATCTCCCCATCTCACCGATGATCAGCTGCTGGACGACTACATGGCGGGTCTGGGAATTGCTAAGAGCTATGACGAGGGTGAAATCGTCTTGATCGAGCGTGTCACTGATTTGATCAATGAAGAAATCAATTTGCTGGAGGACGGCTCGGATTACTTGCAGGTCGGATCTCCTTCTCAGCAGCGGTTGGCTTTCTCTGTGAAGAGCCACGCGCTTGTCGGATTTTTAAACTGTGTCATCCTGGGAGAAGATGCTGCGAATAATGACGTCCTTCTGTCTTGGTTGGAGAACACTATTGGCAACGCACAGCAGATGGCCTCTAAAGAATTGGCGATTACCACATTGAAGTGCATGGCTATTCTCGCTAGGATGTCATCGAACGGGGCCACGCTCGGCCGACGCTGTTTATTGCAGTACTTGGTTCATGGTCGTGCATCACAGGGCCCAGTTGTGGCTGTGGCCTCACGCTGTTTGGCCCAGATTCTCAGCATCCTGTCCGAAGACTCGGTGATTGCGACATTGTACTCGTTGGGTAATTCGTTGAGCCCCGGTCCCATGGCTGATCAGACAGTCCAAGATCACCTCCTCATCGACTCTACTGGCCTCACTGGAAACCTGGTGGCCTACGCTCATGCCGGAGACGCAAGCCAGGCGACCCTCTCTGCTCTGGGTGAAGACGAGACTCTGACGAACCGCAATGTTGTGCATGCCATTGTGAACATTGCGGCCAGCTGCAAGGATGATAAGATCAGCGCACTTGCCCAGTCAATGCTTCTCCAGAAAGTTGGCAAGATCAATGTCTCGGTCGACGCGTTCATCATTCAAGAGACTGCCGTACTTGCTCTGAGTATCGGCCAGCCCGAATTTCTGTTGCTGCTGAAATTCTACACTCGCATCTACCTCGATGGCTTGCACAAGGGCTTGAACATCATCACTGATGCTGTTCAGTGTGCCTGGTCATATCTCGCCGTCTCTCTAGGTGTGAAGTCTCCACTTCACAGGCTTTTCTTAACCCACCTTCTGGAGAGCGTCGTGAACAAGGGTGACATCCCTGACATGGGAGAATCTGAACGCCATAAAGATGTCGTCTTCGCTCATGGCGACATAACCCCATTGTTGAGGCCTTTGGCTTTGCTGGCTTCCTCGCGAACACTCAATGAAGAAACGAACCTCTTGACCTTGGGATATGACGAGGGTATCTGCTCGCTTTTCCGTGATGCTTGGTTCAACATTTCGATTCATGGAATCACAGTTAATTCAAGTGTCTATCATAAACACCTCAAGGAGCTGAGCCTGCTGGCAAGCTATTCTCCGCCCCTCATCGCGGAGGAGCGCATGGAATCCCTCGAGAGTGATGTGGAGCTTAACACAGTACTTCGAAGAGGCACAAGTTCCAACCGCCTCCAAGAGCAAAAGCGCCTGCTGACGGCAGAGCTTCCTGGGAGAGACTCTGACATAAAGCGTCTCGACTATCCCCGTTTGGTGTTTCTGAACGCGGTGCTGTTAGTTGAAACACTTCGCTCGCTAAGCGGCGACTGCACCAAGGTCCTCAACTATTTCCGTGATCCGGCCGTGGCAGCTCCAGAGATGGTGACTTGCATGAATGCTGTGGCAGACAAGGTCGTGGCTTGCTATCTTACGCGGACGCTCTCTGGGGAATATGACGAGTTCTCGGCGCCTTATCTGGCGAATCAGCTGGCCAACTTTTTGACTGCTTGCTGCCATCGCATTGAGAGGATTCAGAACATTGCAACATTGTGCACGGATAAGATTATACGTGAATGTCCATCCGCTTTATGTGAGAAGAAGTCTCTGTTCGCTCTGCTTGAGATTCTCACTGTGATGTGGTCGTCATGCTTACAAGGCGAACTTGACGAGTTCGAGTGGCACCCAACCTTAATCTCACCCATGGGCATTGTAAAGGTCGATTTGCCAGACAATTACGCACTTCGGAAAGCGACCCTGCACAGGTTCCTCGCAAAAGCTAGGACATGGGTGATGGCGGTCTTAAATATCGCCCCGCTGGATGTGAAGGGACTCTTACAGGTATGCATGGCATTGGCGAAATTTCCTGAATGTTGGCACTGACTCGGAACTTAGACATACTTATCTGAATACGACGACGACGGCGCTTACGGACACATCGCCTTGGGTCGTTCATTTGCTCTGGAGATGGGCTCATTGATTCCGCTCAGTGACCCAAGACTTGGTAGGTCTACAAACAAGCTTTAGCAACAAAAGATGTTCGGAGCTGACCAACTTTATAGGGTCGATTGATCCACTCGAAAGTGAGGCAAATATTGCCTCGGACTTCATGGCGCTTTACACTACACGCCAGAAGTATCGTCGACCGGATGAGTCCTCGTTTGATTTTGGGGAGATTGGTCGATCTCTTGAAACAAATGGTTCGTTTAACTGGAAAGACTGATATTGATGTCGCTAATTACTGGTTTTTCCAGGTCTCAAAGCTGACTCCGACCCTGCGAGTGAGTCAGGCCGTACTCTTGAATATTGCCTTGCTCGCATGTATGGCAGGAGCATGAAAGGCGAGAGTGTTCCTTTCGTTGAGGTAAGAGATGCGCTACGACAAGCTGCGCGTCTGATTTGCGGTAGCGTCAGCCCTCGCTTATCCATTGTCCATTACCTGGTGGCCTTGCCCTTCCAAATTTTCGACAAGGAAACCATGAAGCTGGGCGTCTCATTGTGGGTTGGTGTGATCCACGAGAACCCCAGCGTTGAGCCGCGAATCCTAGCTCACGTGGTGGAGGCGTGGGATAAAAGCATTCAGCGACGACAGGGCTTATTCGACCCCAAGTTCGAGTAAGATCACCCTGCATCCTGCTCTCGATGTCGAAATAGACTGCTGACCACTAATAATAGCTACCTGGATCCACTGCAAACAAAAATCGAGCTACTCCCATCCGACAAGGCAGGAATGTTAAGACAACAACAAAATGCGCAGGATACATTGTCACCACATCTGCGTGTGCTTCAGTTCTTCGAAAGTCATTTCAGTGCTGTACGGTTGGGAAATCTTCAGGACCACCAGCTGTTCTGTCGGATGATCAGCAACACTTTGGTTGCCTTGACCAAAACAACCGCTCATCCTCTGGCCAGAGAGATCCATTTCCGCCTTGTTCTTTTTGGCTTGCGTGTTCTTCAAAATATGAGCCCACGTAACACAACCGCCTCCTGGAAGCTCAAGGATCAGATTCTATCGGCTGCATTGAGTTGGTTCAAGCACGCACCAAGGTAAACGCCGGTGTGTATCAAGTCTACAAAATGATTCGCTAATCTTTTCTTCCAGATGGTCATTCGGCGGCAATCGCCTGCAGATTAAAGCAGAAGACAAGGTTCTTGGCGAAGTTTTAAACGCCCTGCGAGGCACCGCGGACATCGCTTCCACCACACAAGGGTTCTACAAATCCCTGCATTCCAGGCAAGACCTCACGCAACTGCTGCTCGAGAATGAGCGTATGCGTCTTCGAGTTTGGTTGTTCCCATTGGAACCTGAGCGAAAGCATCACATACCCTCAATTGGTGGCAAGACTTCTTCTTCTGATGTAGGTTCTATGTCAGCAAAATGTTTTTTTTGTTGCTTGTGACGATACAATGTAGCTGATTTGGAATGTCTAGTCTATCACGAACTACCTTCGCCTTGCATGGGCCGAGAACGCCGGTCTGGCAATCCAGCTCGCAGCACGATTCCCGTCAGTGAAGATGCAGACTGAGATCCGGGCCTTGATCCTCAATGAACCCGTGAAAGCTCTTGGTGAGCCAGCCGCGTTGGAGCTCATGTTCGACTCGTCGTTGCAGCCCGATGTCAACTCTCAATTGAAGGTAAGTTTCTGAATAAGAGTTTGTGTTGTTACATGTACTAACCGCGGTGTAGTATTTGCTTTACTGGGCACCAGTCAACCCCACTGAGGCGCTGACCTACTTCCTGCCCGCTTTCGGAAACCACCCATTCATTCTTCAGTATGCCATGCGAGCGCTCGAGAGCCACTCAATGGATGTCCGATTCTACATTGTGGCGCAATTAGTTCAAGCCCTCAGATATGACGATCTCGGCTACGTTGAGCGTTATACACTTGAAACAGCAAAGCAATCTCAACTTTTCGCCCATCAGGTGATTTGGAATATGAAGGCTAATTCGTACAAGGACGAGGACTCTCAGGTGGTGAGTTGAAATTTCTCCAATAAAGTTGTCATTCCCGAACACTAACATAGAATGTTTCAGCCCGACCCGATCAAGCCTACGCTGGACCGGTTCCTCGACTCCTTGCTTGCAAGTTTCACCGTGGAAGAACGGGACTTCTACGACAGGGAGTTTTCTTTCTTCAACGAGGTCACCGACGTCTCGGGTAAACTTCGCCCGTACATCAAGCGAAGCAAACCCGAGAAGAAACAGAAGATTGAAGAAGAACTTCGCAAAATCAAGGTCGAGGTCGGCGTTTACTTGCCTAGTAATCCAGACGGTGTGGTCATTGGAATCGACCGCAAATCTGGCAAGCCGTTGCAGAGTCACGCTAAGGCACCTTATATGGCAACTTTCCGAATTCAAAAGACACGTCCTCGTCTTGAAAGCAAGGGCGATATGGCCAAGGCTGTGTCCAAGATCGGAGCTGATGAACGCCAGCTTGCAAGCCGCTCCGGTGAACCTGATCTGGAGACCTATGAAGTCTGGCAGTCGGCGATCTTCAAGGTTGGTGACGACTGTCGGCAGGATATGCTTGCTCTGCAAATGATTGCGGCTTTCCGAAGCATTTTCTCGAGCGTTGGACTAGATGTGTGGGTGTTCCCTTACCGGGTCACATCTACCGCGCCAGGCTGTGGTGTGATTGACGTCTTGCCCAACTCTATTTCTCGTGACATGCTTGGCCGAGAAGCCGTGAATGGCCTTTATGACTACTTCGTCTCCAAATACGGAGGCGAAGACTCGATTCGATTCCAGGAAGCCCGCACCAACTTCGTCAAGAGTATGGCTGCATACTCTGTAATCTCGTACCTGCTTCAGTTCAAAGACCGACACAACGGCAACATCATGATTGACGACGCAGGCCACATCATCCACATCGACTTCGGTTTCTGCTTTGATATCGCACCCGGTGGTGTCCGATTCGAGCGCGCGCCATTCAAGCTAACGTCTGAGATGGTCGCCGTCATGAGCGGAACCCACAATCCAGCCCACCATACCGGCAGCGGTGGAATCAGTCTACCGGGCAGCAACTCGCACAACCCGACTAACACGCAGCCGTACCGATGGTTCGAATCTCTCGTGGTCAAGGCATTCCTTGCATCACGTCCCTACTGCAACAAGCTGGCGCACATCGTGACGCTGATGTTGGACAGTGGACTCCCGTGTTTCAAGCCAGAGACCCTGAAGAATTTCCGCGATCGATTCGTCTTGGAAAAGAGCGAACGCGATGCCGCGGAGTACATGCGGGAATTGACCCGTAAATCCTACATGAGCGTTTCCACCAGAGGATACGATCAGTTCCAGCTCATGACCAACGGTATTCCATACTGATCAGAAGAGGCTCGATACCCATCATGCTGTCCCGTCGATCTTCATTCTCGTCCAGCATCAGTTATCAGACATGTGCTTCCCGAAACCATCTACTGAATAATTATAATGCAAATCGTCTTCGATAAGTCTCGTCCCATAATGCGATTTGAGTGGATAACTTTGTAATCAGTACAAGCAGTATACTAGGCTATGCTAATAGGCATGATGTCACGTTTTTTAATATCTCCAGAGATTCCCGTAGTGAATTCTGCAGCGCAACCACTTTCCAGACAACTTCTCGTATCGAGCGACGACTCAGAAGAACAAGCCATGCCAAAATCCACCCAAGATACTTAAACAAGCTCTTTTTGAGTAATTCCATCGACCGTCAACTTGGCCCCGACCGTCCCAATGACCGCTACACCCCGAGGAATCTTGATATCACGAATTTTGAAGCACCCAAAGACCACCAACCGCGTCAAAGCCGGACAACATCTGAAGATAGATGAGGCGAGGTAATCGTCAACCACACCGTTGAAAGCGATGTCAAGGTACTTCAGTTCCGGATACCGCTTGTGCTCGCTGAATACTTCTTCGTACGCCTTGTATGAGATGTGTCGACATGAAGCAACGTTCAAACTTCTCAGCTTGCTGCCGGAATGAGCCATCAACGCCATGAAGGCATTAGATGCGAGACCTATAGGCTCTTCTGGGCCGGCTGGATTGCTCATATCTACATCCCGTGTGCGGTGGAAGTCAGCAAAGGTGAGGGGTGGGTTAGGCCAGTCAATGAAGAGCGTGGCAAGAGCTTGGTCGGAGACTTCGGCATTGATCGCGAGTCGAAGTTTGGTGAGGTGTCTGCACTTCTCTCTGATGAGATGGACCAATCGGTCGTCTGCGTAATAGAACTCTTCGAGAGAAAGAGAGCGTAAATTGGATCCAAGATTGGAGATAATTTGGTTGAGAGGCTCGACGGAAGTTTCCTGGCTAATGTGCAGAGAGAGATGTTCGAGGGTTTTCATGGTCGAAATAGCCTCAAGCGCTTTGTCGCCAATTTTATGGAGGTGTTTGAATTTCAACCGCTGCAATTGGGTGCAGTGCTTTGCCATCACTTCCACTGTCTCGTCGTCAAAAGCAGAATCCAGATTCCAGAGTTTCAAACTTCGGAAGCGTGGGCCAAGCCGAACGAAAAGCCTTCGCCATACATCGTCAGTGACAAGATTCGGAGAATCAAGGTGCAGGTGCTCGATGGGGAGGCCGCGGTCCATCATGTATTCGAATATGCGGTCTTTCATCGGGGTCACGAATCGCAGGTTGAGCTTGTTCAAGCTGGGCATGAGAGCAAGAATCTTATGATAATCGTCCGTATCAAGCTCTAAGATGCAGGTCAGAAAAGCGCCCAATCCGTAGTAGTGAAAGGGGTCTTAGGTTTCTCACTGGCACAATCGTAGATGTTAATCTCCCTGTTTTGTGGGCGGATGAACAGGTCCAACGTCGTTGAGGTGATTGCTCGCCGACGCGCAAGAATTTGGCTGAGACGATTCATCACCGGTGGAGGTAGATCTCCAAACTCCTCCACGTCGGCGATATTTTCTGCGACTTTCTGGAGGAGGATCGGTCAGCCTTGTTCAACCCGTACGCGTACTGGAAATGGGACCCCCCATGCCTACCTTGATGCATGTCTCCAGTAAGCTCTGTGTGCCTTGCGAAGCCAATCCGTCCAGCAGAGCGCTTTGATTTTGGCGCCGACTAATGCCTGCACTGCGCTTCTTAGGCGCAGTTTTCTTCTCTCCACTAGCGTGTTTCTTGGAGCATTCGGCGCACAAAAGGCCACCTTCAGGACCCGTCTTGCTGTAGGGCGTGACAGTGAACCTTTTCCCACAAATCTCACAGTTACCGAGCTGACCTGGTAGTGGTCGCTGCTTCTCATTCATGATTTCATCGGCGAGCAGATCATCGTCGTCATCCGGTTCACCTGTCCTTCGAGCCTTGCGACGAGCAAAGTCCTTGGACTTCTTGATTCTCTCGATGGCTTGTTGTCGCTTGCGCTTCTTGGCTTTGTCCTCTGGTGACTCCGCTTCTGGCGTGGGCTCTGCCGATGGCTCTTCCATTTCCACATCTTCTGGCTCTGGCTCCGGCTCTGGCTGTTCCGGCTGCTCTCCCACATTCTCGCGCGCAGCTTCGGCTACTCTTCGATCGTAGTCGTCGCGAATTTGCACCGCAGAGATATTATTTGACTATACAGGCAGGACGTTAGTACTCCAAGCTCAGCAAATGGTTTTATGAGCCAAATAATGGGTAATCGCGCACGTACGGCCAAGAAATCAGTCAGGGCGGATCGCCTGTAGGTTCAAGGATCAATTAGTTGCCGCTCGGTTGCGAACATTTACAATCGGAAATGAGGTCATACGGCCCGCGAATATTACTCGCTTGTCTTCGGCTTGCCCTTTGATTGTGGTCAGCATGTCTCCAACAAAGGAAAGAATAGAAGCATCATTCGACCTACATGTTGAATTTTCGTGCGCTCAAACCGATCAAGGTATTGTATCGATGTCTGGTGACCAGATGCAGAGAGGAAAGTGGCGATGAGAGTCCAGAGCAGGTCACGGGACCGCGATTATTTCGCGTTGCACTTTACGCGCTGATCGGCGGGAAGAGGCTCTTATCGCCGCCCGCAGTTGGCGATTTGTGTTGTGACTCTCCGTCTTTTGGTGCAGGTCCTTTCGGACGAGTGTGAGCGGCAATTGATCGGATCAATCGACTTTGCAGGAGGGGAGCAATGGGTCTGTGAGACCCACGGCCCAAGACGAGGGTATGCAATCGGTCCAATCGGGACCTGAATCAGATCAAATGAAGAAGCAGAAAGAGGATCTCAAGTGGCAAAGTTCCCCCTGCGATCGCTGCGCATGCTCGTCATTGGCGGGTTCAGATGAAGTCCAAGGAATTGAAACCTCAGGACACGCCTCTCGAAAGGGAAACCACGAGAATGGCATGGAGGTCGCTATGCGGAATGAGGCAAATGGACGGTGGATGTGATAGATCGAGAGGACAGAAAATTCCTTCCAAAGAAGCTATTGTAGTCATCCTCAGTCATGTGCCTCGAAGACTTGTGCTCATTAATCTTTAACGCCGACGCGGGAGGTTCCGATAAGCCTTCGATTCCATCAGCGCGTCACGCCGCTCTTTGCTTCGACAACCTCGACTCTCGAGTCTCCGTGACTGCCTGCTGTATACCGAGACTCCTTACCCTCTTTCGTCCCATCTAAATTTCATTCCATCATTCGTCGAGTGTTTGATCCCAACCTGGTGGCTTTGTATACTTCTGCTATTCCACTGTCACTGGTCAGTATCGCGGGACTCTCCTGCCTCGAAGCGCGAGAATCAGTCGATAACTACCGTAAGTCTGGATACCTCTAGATGCTGGGCATATGCGCGACCAAGCTTCCTTGTCGTGGTCGATGATCATCTTCCAGATGGTTGCGCTGACATTGATCTTCGGCTAGATAATTGCCACTCTGTGAAGTAGATCACTCGTTAGGGTCTCGAGTCACCTTCGACTTCCGTCATTTACTTCAATTGCCCCCACATCTTGCCGTTTTTGCGACCTACCTCACCTCATCATGCCTGCCAGAAGAAGATCTCAAGCTGCGGTAGTCCCTGAGCCTGAGAACGATACCCATCTCAGCGGTATTTCAGTCAGAGGAGGCTCACCAATTCGTCGAACCAATCCCCGGCGCAAATCATCACAAATCAAAAATGACTCAGCCCGCGTCATTGATGATACCGAAGAGGATGAACTCGCATCAATAATCATGGATACCCCCAAGAATCAGACCTTTCGAACGGATCCGACAGTGGCTGTGAAAGTGGTGATACCCTCGCAGATGGATGCATCTACAAGCGACTCGAGCGCCTCACCAGGCAATCCATCCGCCGAAGGAAATACGGCATATAGTACTCCTGCCACTAGCGTTGGAACGCCCGCGGAGTCCAGCATGAAGCGGACGCGCACTCGGGTGAATGCATCAGATCGTGCTCAGCGCCTGCGTGCAACCAGCACAGTCACACGACGGACGTCGTTGAGATCGCAAACCGGGACAAAGCGATCGGCTGACGACGCTGAGCTACTTCAGGATGACGACCTCAATTTGGAAACCTCGGACGCAGCAATGGCCCGTGCTCTTCAGATGGAGGAGTACGAGCAGCAGCCGATGCCTAAGAAACGCAAAACCGCGGCTTCTGAGCGAAGCCGGTCTTCAACTCGTTTGCAGCAGAACGCCATTGATTTCTCGGGAGAAACTGACTCCTCCGTGCTAGACTCCCTCGATGATGAAGTATTTCAGTCTGCGGAAGATCTTGACTCAAATTTCGAGTCCGATTCCGAGGGAGATTGGCCAAAAATTGTGACACAACAAAAGGCCAAGAAAACTCGAAAATCGAAGGTTGAAGATGACGAGGAAGATCAGGGTCCGACCGATATGGCTGAGGACGATGCCGAGGAACTAGGGTTGAGTTGGGACGAGCAACGCAAAGCGCGAAGAGTGAGTAGGATTGCTGAAAATCGTAGTGCTCCACCGACCAGAAGAAAGACTTACCCGATTTCTGTCATCTAGGCCAAAGCCGATCGCAAGAAGTTAGAGAAGAAGCATCCGGCTATTGTCACCATGTGGGACACCCTCAAGGCGACTCCAATTATCACACCAAAGCCTGCACAGCAACCCGAGTCCATCACACGCAAGTTGAAGCCCTTCCAGCTAGAAGGGTTGAGTTGGATGCTGGAACAGGAAAAGACTCAATACCGGGGTGGACTCCTGGGCGATGAGATGGGAATGGGCAAGACGATCCAGGCTGTGTCTTTGATTATGTCGGATTTTCCCCAGCCGGAGCCCACGTTAGTCCTGGTGCCACCAGTCGCGCTGATGCAATGGGTGTCTGAGATTAAGGTACGCCACGAATTCATTCACGAATGTGTCGGTGGAAGCTAATCCAACTTTGCAGGAATACACCAATGGCAAGTTGAAAGTATGCGTATATCACAACGCGGACCCCAAGGTGAAAAAGCTGTCACGAGCGGATCTGCGCAAGTTTGATGTTATCATGATGTCTTGTAAGTCGATCAATTTAATTGACGAACACTTTGGAAGTTGCTGACCAGTATATGCAGACTCTGGTCTTGAGTCCATCCATAGAAAGCAGGAGAAGGGCTGGACGCGTGGCAATGGAACGGTCAAGGAGGACAGTGAGTGAATTTTGAATTGACGAGTCTAGACGAGGTGATTATTGACGACCGAGTAGGCTTGATTCATTCAATCAAATACCATCGACTGATCCTTGATGAGGCACACAGTATCAAGGTAAGAGTCATCGCGTATTCTTGATACCCAGATCTTAAAAACTAACCAGTCGTCAGTCACGTACGACCGGTGTTGCGAAGGCTTGCTTCGCCTTGAAGGCTTCTTACAAGTGGTGTTTGTCCGGCACACCGGTCCAAAACAGAATCGGAGAGTTCTTTTCTCTCTTGCGTTTCCTTCAGGTGAAGCCATTCGCCTGTTATTTCTGCAAGCAATGTCCTTGTGAGCAGCTCCAGTGGTCAGCGAACAAGCAGGGCCAATGCAACGAATGCAAACACACGTGAGTGCACCTTGGGATGCTTCGCCATGGCCTACGACAAGTCTTGTAGGATCTATACTTACCTAATAATCAGGGGATTCAATCACATCTCCATCTTCAATAAGGAGATACTTAATCCGAGTGAGTGGTCACTGACCAGACATCGGTCTGTAAGACATGCATGGATCGAGGCTAATCTCCCCTAAGTCACCGAGGGAAGGACTACCGAAGAACGCAAGGAGGGACTTGCCAAGCTGCGCTTGATCACGGATCATATTATGCTTCGCAGAATGAAAGAGGAGCATACGTCGTCCATGGAACTGCCGCCAAAAAGGTACGCCGAGGCATCATCCAAACATTCTGAATTTTGACAAACTAACATCTATTCCACGACAGAATCACCATCCACAATGAATTCTTTGGTGAGATTGAGCATGATTTCTCGCGCAGTATCATGACAAACTCCTCGCGACAATTCGACACCTACGTCAGTCGAGGTGTAATGTTGAACAACTACGCGAACATCTTTGGTCTCATCATGCAGATGCGACAAGTCGCAAATCACCCAGACTTGATTCTGAAGAAGCATGTGCAGCCGGGCTTCAATGTCTTGGTGTGCCGTGTCTGCGATGAGCCTGCTGAAGACGCGATTCGCTCCCGTTGTCGACATGAATTCTGCCGCAAGTGTGCGAAGGACTATATTCAGTCCTACGACGACGTCTCCGCTGTGGACTGCCCACAATGTCACATTCCTCTTTCGATTGATCTGGAGCAGCCGACCATCGAGCAATCGGACGAGTCAGTGAAGAAGAACTCCATCATCAATCGAATCATGATGGAGAACTGGACATCGTCAACGAAGATCGAGACTTTGGTGTATGAGCTTTATCAACAGCGAACTAAGAGCCACACACCGAAGTCGATCATCTTCTCACAGTTCACATCCATGCTGCAGCTGGTGGAATGGCGCCTGCGTCATGCTGGCTTCAATACGGTGATGCTCGATGGCACCATGACACCCGCGCAGCGTCAAAAATCGATTGAACATTTCATGAAGAACGCAGACGTGGAGGTGTTCCTCGTCTCATTGAAAGCTGGCGGTGTGGCCCTGAACTTGACCGAAGCATCTCGCGTCTTCATTGTGGATCCGTAAGTGGTGTCTTCATTTCCTGAGTCCTGTGTGTGGCAAGTTCTGACCTGTTGAATTTCCAGCTGGTGGAATCCCGCGGCTGAGTGGCAGAGTGCCGATCGAAGTCACCGAATCGGTCAGCAGCGGCCCTGTGTTATCACTCGCCTGACGATTGAAGATTCGGTCGAATCACGAATTGTCCAGCTTCAGGAAAAGAAGGCCAATCTCATCCGAGGTACCATCAACAAGGACCAGGGCAAGGCGCTGGAGAAACTCACCCCGGAGGATATGCAATTCTTGTTCCGGGGTTCATGAAAGGGTCGGCCCACACGATTCTTATCGTCCAAGGCTGGGCAGCCGAGATGCTCTGCCGACTTTATTATTTTATGTACATATTCCTATTGATAGCCTCCAGTTTGCTTGCATTGCTTTTACCTCGTCTCGCGCACCTGTCTTGTTCACCACATTATCACTGGCACCGGCGTCCAGGTGCGCGACACACATTCTTTTCGTGGCGTGACTTGCCCAGGATTCATGTTTTCATCATCGCAATGCGCGGAAAAAGCATGCCATTTTTAAGTCTCTCTTACTTCCCATCCACTCTATCGTTTGCATTTCCCTCTATTATTTCAATGCTCGAGCCGAGTATGATCTCAACCAGTACTTCAGCCAGGATACTAGACACTGAAACATAACGGTAGGTATATTTTGAGACTGTAAACCTGCCAACCATGGATGGATGCTAAGGTACTACTAGGTAGGGTGCGTAAGAACGCGCTCGCGTGGGCCTGGAATTAGGTACCTAGCTTGTGCTTTACATATTGCGTACTGGCCCTCATCTGTTTCACCGAGGTAATTCTCTGATTCTATCGACCTCCCGGGCAGGATCCTCGTGATGATTGACCATCGATGCCATGAACGACTCTTGACGGGACACCTTCTCTGTATAACAGCGATTGTGTTTGAGTATGCTACAATGCCACGACTCGTATGACCCATGCGCTGTGGTATGATGATACCAAGGGCTGAGGGCGAGCTTTCTCTCGCTATGAGAAGTATGACACGTGCAAACTTGGTTGCCCACACGCCACCGCGTCGGCGGTGTTCAGTGGCTCCACTGCGACCCAAGAGACAACCCCCACCGTCAATCACATGCATGCCGTTTGTCTTGGGAATACCTACCTCCTGCACGCAATTGACGCATGTAGCCATGTACTGTACTCACCCCAAACAAGTTACGAGGCCCACGGACACGAATAGCGCTGACCTTAAAATCAGCATCGGGGGTCTCTATGGTTCGATTGTGGCTGGGCTGCGTTGGTTCGCAACGACAAAACGCTCACATGGCACTTGGTCGAGGAGGTCATTGGACAGAGAAGAGAGAATTTCGCCGATCTCTGGTCCTGTCATGCATCCTGAGCCGAAGTATACTGCTACCAGTCAAAATATGTCGTGGGCAAGTCGAGCAGCCAGGTACAGGTACACATGGAGCTGTACTTTGTGGTAAGTGGCAGCGCTGCAATAGCAGTCATGTGGTAAATGATGTACCCGGTGTTGCTGTACCATTGTCCCCAAGCCCTTCGACCCAGTCCTACATACCTATCCCGACCTGATGACACAGGCCTCATGGATGCGCGTCATATGATCACACCAGATTGCCTATTGTGGTATCTTGATTGTCATGTAGAGCGGAGTTTTCCTCCACTCGAAGTCCACTTGCCCATGACGATCTTCTCTCATGCAGTACATCACTGGGCCTACTGAGTCCATAACCAGGTAAGTGCATAGTCATGACTACTACATACCAGGACTGTACTGTAGAACTACTATAGAAGTCCTCGCGAGTCGCTAGCCCTACGAAGGCCCAAGAATGCTGCTGCCTGCTCAGCCCTCCGTCATTTGTGGATCGCGATACGGATAAGAAAGCTTGGCGGCATCTTGGCTCTTGGAACGGACATTCCCTTCTGCCCTACGAAAGTCAGACAGGAACTGCCGACGTGCCGACTGTGGAACTGGGGTGCAAAGAAACAAACATGGCGAATGACGGAATACCAGTAACTCGAGAAATGGAAAACGGAGTCGGTGGCGCCTCAACTCGTGAACCGTGAACCGAGTAAATCGCCCTGTTCTGACCCCAAACAGAACCGATCTGCGCGACGGGGGAACGAGGATCTGATTACTTCCGATCGTACTGCGGGCTGGGCTGGCCCTCCCCGTCATGGCGGGAAAAGTGGGCGCAGTCCCAAGTGATCTAAATTCGGCACCCTTGGCCATGGTCCTTGGCCTGGTCTTTTTTTTTTCCTTCTTCTTTTTGGGGGTGTCCTTGTCCTGCCCTTTGCCTCGCGTACGGTACTCAAATCACGCCCCCTCGGCGGCTGTCCACGCGGCGTGACTTCTAAGCTCCATCGTGTGAAGAGCAATCAACATGGCTCAATACGCCCCAAAGTTGGTCTCCAAGGCCGACAAGGTCACCAACCACCTCAGCTTCAACGACAGCAAAAAGCCCGCCGGTGGCTTTGATTCCACACCTATCCCCCATGCGCCGCCGGGGTACACGATGAAATTCACCTTTCACCGGGCCGTCGACCTCCCTCTCGCCGATCTAAACACCCTCTCTTCCGACCCGTTTGTCTTTGCGCGCCTCGAGGTGGCGTTACCCCGTCGCCATAAGCAGGATCCAGGCATGACATTTCGCACCCCAACGGTGCACAAGGACCAAAACCCCGTCTGGAATGCCGACTGGATTGTCGCCAATGTGCCCGCGTCGGGGTTCAAGCTCAAAGCTGCAGTCTACGACGAGGATGCCTCTGACCACGATGATAAGCTTGGCCTCGCGACAATCGAGACCCATGCACTCTCCGAGTCATGGACGCCCATTCGAGAGGAGGCGGTCAAGGTCAAACATCGATTCGCCAGGAAGCGGGTGTATGCGTTGACAAACCTTCAAAAGCTCACCAATCATCACAAGGTCTCGTACCTCTACGTGAGTGTGGAATGTCTGGGGAGGACGCCGGGGGAGGAAGGCGGCCAGATCTTTACGGTGGGGCCGAACTTCTGGTTCAAGCACTTTTCGCCTCTGATCGGTCGGTTGGCCGGAGTGAAGGACCAAGTACCGAAGCAGGGTGAGAATGGGAAGGAGATTAGCCGATACAAGTGAGTCGCGTCGGTCCCGCGGAAAGAGGACCGTTGCACAGAAAGCGCTCTCGCGTGATGGATTGGTTTTTGCATTTGGCACTAACTCAGGCTTGTCCTTCTTCAGTTTCCAGGCTATCGAAATGCAGCTGACCGGACCGGTGCCGTCGGAAATGTACCACCGCTATGTGGAGTTCAAGCCTTTTATCGCGGGCATGTTCCAGTCGCAAAGCCTCCGAGGTCGGCTTCTGCACAAGGCGCTCCACCACCAGCATCAGCGCATCTACAATTATGACCGTACCACCTTGTACGGTGTCTTTCCCAAGCCCTGTCGAGAACTGGCCCAGAAACTCTTGGAGTTCGTGCAGCATGGCCAGGGAGGCCGTATCTTCACCTATGTGCTCATGCTGGACGGGATGTTCCGATTCACCGAGACCGGCAAGGAGTTCGGCATCGATCTTCTGAGCAAGCACACCATGCACAGTGACGTGACCAGCTACATCGCATTTTCGGGCGAGTTCTTCGTGCGGTGTCGCAAGAGCCCCCACCGTGTCCGTCGACACCATTCGCAGGCCTCCCATCCGATGCCCTCGACCGGAGACCAGACGACCGAATTCCCCGTGGAAGAAGACCCCAAGGACGGGAAGAATGAGAAAGGTTACGACAACGAAGATTCTGAAGGGACCCACGGGGTGTCCCAAGAACCTTCCGACTACGATCTGTACATCGACAACGACAGCGGCACCTATCGCCCCAACGCCAAATTGCTCCCTCAGTTGAAAGGCTTCATAGCCTCCAACTTCCCCGGCATCAATATTACCACTCTCGACTGCCAAGAGGACGCCGACAGGATGCAGGAACTCAAGGACGAGCAAAGAGAGGCCAAGACCCAGGAGGGCCGCATGATCACCTACCTCCAGCAGAGCAGCAGCAGCTCCTCGCTCTCGTCCATCTCCAGCTCGGACGAAGACGAGCTGAATGAGCGAACTGGAGTCCGCAAGCCTCGCGGAGATTTCTCTCGACACGTTCATGAGATGCGCGATGTCAAGGGACAGATGATGCGATGGGTGGAGCATGATGGGCACCCGGACCGACCAAAGCATCGCCATACAGCTGGACGTGATCGCGCTGCATCTTTGGGGGAGATGAGGTCGTCGGGTGCGCCGCCATCGGCCGTGAACACGGGCGCTTAATGGAACCGGTGCGAGTCAGGGTGAGTGGGTGCCTAGTTATACCCTGCTTGACCTTGGTCCGTACTCTTGTTTCCGTTGCTCTCCTCATACTGGGTTCTCTGGTGTTCTGTCGCTTTGGTGCAGTGGCCTGGCGTTGATCGCCGGGTACAAGCTTCTTCTTTCTCCCGCGACCCTTGAATTTGCCTCATTCCAGACAGCCCTTTTTAGTGTGTGATTTTCTTTTTTCTTTCTTTCTCTCATTTTTTTGTGTCCTGTTTTCCTCTGATTGAAGCCGACTCACGACGTTCACGACCCGATTGATGATGCCATGTCCTGCCGATGGTAATTTAGAGAGGTGGTGGTGCCTGGAGTCATTGCTGTTTATTTTGGGAGGGGACGCGTGTGAGGCGCCACGGGACGCTTTCATGTGACTTTCTTGAATGATACTATTTTTATTTCCACTCTGTCGCCTACTTGTAGCCTTGTCCTGTAAGTTGGTAGCTAGAGTGGTCACGTTGGTGTCGGACAGATGCTGTCCAAGTGCCACGCATTCTTCTTGCATCGCCGGAGTATGAGTGTTGAAAGCTATCCTACAGTCTTTCATGATGTGTACCGAGTCCACCTTGCGCAGCTCCCTGTTAGCCGCCGACGGGGCTTTCTCGTGTCCCGCACTTCGTATGCGCTACGCCCCCTCTGAGGAGGCTTATCCACATGTTTCGTACTATACTCAACGAGTCAACACTGATACACTCCGTTCTTCGTGAAGAGTCCTCTCCCACACCATCTCTAGTACTATAGAACCTCTTGTATGATCTGCCTGGACAGCTGCTCGCCACATTCTGACTCAGTCCTCTCAGCCGGACATGTCGCGTGGTCAGGCTTCGACGTCCGGTCTCAATGACACCAAACTGGTGAACTGGTCATGATCGACGGTTCCTCCCCGCCTCCCAAATCCTAACAAAACGAGGCGCACCCCCTCCTCTCTCTCTCTCTCTCTCTCTCCGCCTCCGTCTCCGAACAACTGCATCTCTCCGTCTCCCAAACGAGCCAAAATCAACGCGATCGAAAGCCAACTCCACCCCACCCCACCCCCCCCCCCCCCCCCCCACCCCCTCCATCCCACACTCCCCCGATCTTCACATCCCGTCTAAGCTTTTTCTTGCATCTTCGAGACCACTCCTCACTGACCCCCTCCGATCCACTTGCTTCTCAGCGCCCACAGTCAACACGCCCTTTCCCACCCCTCACTTACACTGACACTGGCTCACTCAACGTGCTCTCCCCTTCCCACCATCGCTGCCGCTCACAACATCACGAACCACGCCATCCCCACCTTAACCCAGCTTTCCGCCCTCCCGCGACTCCTCCTGCGAAAGTCCAAACAGCCCTACACCTGAATGACGGATCTTGCGCTCGCGCCGCACATCTCTGGTCCCCGAGACACAGACGTCTGCTTGTCGCCCACGCTGCCGATGGCCGATGCATTGACTCGTCGCTGATCCTGCCTTCTTTTCCGCCGCCCGGTCTTGCAACCCGCCGTCGCATCGTCGCATTTAAAGATCCCCATCATGGGCAATGTCGCAAGCCGTCTGGATGACGGGAGCTTGTTCTTTAAGGATCAGAATCGCTGTGGGTCTTTTCCCTTTGGCCTCGGAGAGCTGCCCCGACCACACAAGGATGCCTGTTCGCGCATACTAATTGAGGTTTGCGTGCGCTCGATGCAGTAACCATTGCGGCTGTCACGATTAGCAATTCCCGTCGTCGCTTGTTGACGTTGACACCGAACGCATTTCCGGCGACCAGATTCACGGCAAAAAGAGACCCGGGCGATGATACGCCGATTGAGTACATCCAGGTAGGATCACCCGGTGGCGGGGACAGCTTATGGTGATCGCGAGCAGTGGGAAGGAAAAACCGACTTGCGAACGGTAGTGATGTGGCTTGGGGAAAGCGGAGCGAACTTGAAACGCAGGCTGACCTGTCGACTTTGATCAACGCAATCTAGGACCCGGATGCTCCTTCCACCGCGCCATTTCCCTCTTTCTTGTTGCGCCTCTCAAATGACGATGAGCTGATCTTCACATTTACCTTCGTGCTCCGCCAAACACAAACGGGGAATGTCGCGGGCTCGACGGTGAATGGTGTCTCGACATCGCTTCCGGAGGTGCTGGATACGGTAGTCACGGGGCTGACGTTCGCTCACGCATCCAACGCCAAGGAGCTGGACAACCTCATCACCCGCGAATTCCACGCGAACCCGAACCTGCAGAACAACTCCAACGTCCAACTGATCGGTAATTACTCCACCGAGGGGAGCCCCTCGGTCTCGTTCGAATGGCTATGGCAGTGGAAGCCACCAAAGGCTACAGAGGATCGTGGTGGCGGCTGGCGGAATAGCTGCAGTTTCCTGGACTACGATCAAAAGACCAATCGCCTGAACACCCTCGCGCATTTTTCATTTTGGGTACACAGTACCACACGACCGTTGCCAAGCCCACTGCTCCTGTCACCGCCAAACCTAGAGCTGCCGATTTTACCTTCACGAAATCGAATCTCATCCAATCAATCGGCAATTTCGCACATCAGTGACAGCGATGCGCTGTCGGCTTCGAATTTCCCTATCACGAGTCCGTCAGACTCGCTGGATGGCCCTCTGCTACCCCCGATACCCACAGCACCTCCGCCTCCGCCACCGGTGAAGGTCGATCTAGTCCATTCTCGACCCGGCGAGGACGTGAGTGCGGTGGAAGATGGTCCGCTCTTCCGCGCCACGATGAAAGCGATGGAGCAGAAGACGGGCAACATGCGCTCAAAGATCAAAAAGGTGCTAAAGAAGGCTGAAGCCGCGCAGGCAGCCCAAGTCGCCTGCAACGAGTCGATGGAAGCCTTTCTCAATTCCTTGAGTGATGCGTCAACGTCCAATGCCAAAGCCATTCAGCCAGCCTTGGACCACTACTTTGAAAAGATCGCTCGGCAGATCCAAAATTATGAACAGACCAACACCATGCAATTGCAGAAACTCGTGATAGAGCCCCTGATCAAACTTTACAACAATGATATCAAACAGGCGGAATCGAAGAAGAAGGACTTTGACGAGGAGAGCCGAGATTACTATGCCTACGTCAGTCGGTACCTGGGCCAGCGTCAAGACTCTCTCAAAGAGAAGAAACGCGCCGAGAGTGACTCCAAGTACCAAGCCAAGAGGCGGAACTTTGAACTGAAGCGATTTGATTATTCCTCTTTCATGCAAGATCTGCATGGCGGTCGCAAGGAGCAAGAGGTGCTTTCTCACCTGACCAAATACGCTGAATTCCAAGCGCAGGCTTTTCTGGCGGCCGCTCAAAAGGTCGAGGAGATGGCCCCTCAGCTGAATGCCCTCGTACACGAAGTCACTCAGGCAGATAAGGAATTCCAATTCCAGCGGTCCGAACGCGAGGAAAAGCGAAGAGCTCTGGAGAAGAATAGTAATCCATACATGGAACCGGATGTTGTCGCTGGTGCGCCTGCAAACACTGCGATTGTGTCGGGGACCGCATCGACGACTCTCGGCAGCGTTGCCGTGAACAACGGAAGCTCGGGCGGAGAAGTCGAGTTAGGACGCGCGGACAGTACTGGCTCGCAGCTTCGTGGGGTCATCAGCAACAGTTCATCTGTTTCGTCGCAGGCCAACGCGGGATCAGTGAGTTCTGGTACTGGGACCTCTGCACCGCTCGGCGGGAGCACGAATGCGCAAGTCCAGAACCGCTTCAAGGGGATTCGGGACTTGGAAGAGCGCGAGAGCCTTGGATCAGATCGTTCTGCGGGCCAGCAACGAAAAGAGGGTCTTTTATGGGCACTTTCGCGTCCTGGGTCGCATATGGATCCCAAGGGTATCAACAAGCAGGCATGGCACAAGTGAGTCAACACCTACGAGACCGAGAACTAGGTTATTTCTGAAAATCCATGCATTGTCCCTGGCTAACGACGTTGTCCCACCTTTGATTTCTGTGGTGCAGATTCTGGATCGTTTTAGACCAAGGAAAGCTGTCAGAATATAGTAATTGGAAACAAAAGCTGGACCTGCATATGGATCCGATCGATTTACGGATGGCCTCTGTACGCGAGGCCAGGAATGCAGAGCGACGTTTCTGTTTTGAGGTGATCACCCCTCAATTCAAGCGCATATACCAAGCCACTTCCGAGGAAGACATGGCGAATTGGATTCGCTCCATCAACAATGCACTACAAAGTGCAGTGGAGGGGCGAGGAATGCCCCCGCCGCCGATTACGGGGAAGAGTGAGAGCTCGACCGGGCGAGACATCGGCTCGGTTTTGACGGGCAAGAGCTCCTCTGTGTCCGGTCACCACTCGTACTCGAACAGTTCCAGCTCGGCGGTGTCCGGCGTCAGTCGTCGCACAACTGTTGGGGCTCGACCGAGCTATGTGCGGAATGACAGCAGTTCGTACGAGGACAACCCGGCACGTCTGCTACAGGTTGTTCGTGATGCTGACGAGGGGAACAATTGGTGTGCCGACTGTGGGTCATCGTCCAAGGTTGAGTGGGTGTCTATCAATCTTGGGATCATTCTGTGCATCGAGTGCAGTGGAATCCACCGATCGCTAGGAACTCATATCTCCAAGATTCGATCACTCACACTTGACGTACATTCCTTTTCCAATGATATTGTGGAGATCCTATTACAGATTGGCAATCGTGTCAGCAACATGATCTGGGAGGCTACACTGGACCACTCCGTGAAGCCGATTGCCAGCTCGACTCGCGAGCAACGACTGAAATTCATCACCGCGAAATATGTCGATCATGCATTTGTCGAGCACCTACCCTCTCCACGCTCCAGCTTCGCCACGCCTGACGAATCGCTCTTGGCGTCCATCAAAAAGAACGACATCCAAGGAGTCCTGTACGGTATTGCTCTACGAGCGAACGTCAATGTGGCCGATCGATCTCGCAACACGCACGCCGTTTTCCTGGCCCTTGCGGCCGCCGATCCAGCCTCTCCGGGCTCCACCCCAACATCCATCTCAGCACGGTCCAGCGCAAAGGCGATCCCGTTCCCCGTCGCCGAGCTGCTCGTTCAAAACGGTGCCGAGATTCCGCCCGCACCCCCGTCGATCCCACTTTCCCCGGCGGCTCAGCTATACATCAGTCAGCGCACGGCTCGTCCACCGGCCTTTACTGCTCCGATCGCGGGCAAGTCGATGGTGAGTGATACAGTGGGGACGTTGCCTACTATCCACTCATCATCCGCCTCGGGTCGAGATGGGCCCATGTCTGTGCCTGTTGGTTCTGCATCATACGGCTCGATGAGCTCTCTGGACAATAATTCCAAGGACAGAGATAAAGAAAGGTTATCCAAGCGTGGGAGTGCCGGAGCGAGACTCGCGGGCAAGGTAGCGTCATTAGGAATTGATCGATAGATTGATTTGTCACTGAATACTTTAAGTATATGGTTCTCTCCCCCCTTCCCTACCCTTCCCAATTCATTCAACCTCCTATCCTTCTCTCTTCCTCCTCTCCATATTCCCATGTCTTCCATTCACCCCGTCGTCTCCATACAGCACATCATAACCTGCATTGTCTATATACTCGCCCCCTCTTCACAACGTGGAATCTACATTTAATGAATGTCACCCAACCCCAATTCCACCCAATGACTTCCCGATGGAAAACCCTCCTTTCTGATTTTCCATCGCATCTCCTTTCTCCCCCTGAAACCGAGAACTTAGCGCGTCAAATGTCCAAGGTCAAGCCTGACTCTGATAATTTCCTCTCGAATTCTCAATGATATCGCGAAATTGTACATTCCCTTTCTCTTGGCCCGATCAATAATAATGCAACGGCTTCTGGCCTGATTGTGTCCGGGCCCGAAACCACTGGTGGTGGTCTGTCCTGGCTGGGCCTTTTTTTTCTTGAGGTTGGATCCTATTGAACTTTTTTCCCCTTCTCTGAAACTGGTGACCCTGGATCATTGGAAGTTCGTGTTTGTATTCAGGAAGGTTGAGTGTTTGAGCGTTTAATACAATTACAACCGGAAGTTGAAAGCCGAGCCAGACAACCAGAACCGCAACAGGCAGTTTTCAAAGTCATATCAGAATCCAGTACTATCTCCAAAAACTCAAAACCACTCCCCAAAACCGTAGGGCATATGCAGACACGATAGGGAATCGCTGAGAGAGAATGAAATAGCAGGACTCAGGCTCCAATCACAAAAGAGGTTGCGAAAGCTTGCGAAATCGGGGACCTTCCATTTATCCCGTCGAGCTGGAATGGATCACCGTGGACTTAGGAAGGACTCTGTGATAAGTTTCAGTTCTAGGGTTACCAGCTGGAGGTCTGTTGGCTTGTTGGGAGGGCGAGATTGCACTGTTTGGTGTTTAGGTTTACTACCTGATTAGACCGGACCGGAACAGACCTACTAGGTACTTGCTATCTAGTACCTCTAGCCATGCCGAGTAAGGTCCAGATCCATCTAATTTCCTGGGTATATGTAGGTGACTTGGTATAGGACAAGTCATGCTCACTCTTCACGTGCAAATACATGATTTGAGACCTTGAGAAACATCACTTTATATCTACGGTACCAGATGTATGGTCTCAGAGGTACGGAGGGAAGTGTATTGAAAGTCTTACAATGGTGTCTAGTCTTGTAGATGCGAAAGGTCGAGCCAGACGGGAGTTGGACGCAGTTGAATGGTAATCCTATCTTTCTAGTCGGTTGGATGAGATGCGAGGTCTTATTGTATACTTGCCGAGGTTATGCTCTTAGCAGGACACATCTATGTCATCAGGACAGTTTTACTTACTCCGTAATGCACTGGACGCACAACCTTATTTATCATTCAGGAACCGACTCAATCAACACATATACCCAATGAATAAAATGATCCACTAACGAACAAGGAAAAGCAGCTGATCGCCTGCCCCTTCCAGCTGCAAGATAGTCGGATACTCATACAGAACAAGGAATTCCCTACCGAGCCTAACGATATTGACCCTTCAACGATACAGGTCCCTTTCCAACGGAACTCGGATAGAGAAGCCAGTGACCCTTTTCATACCCAACATGTGTAATCACTCCTCGGGCATGTCCGGATTCAGCTCAGGAGATCGTCAGCATGCTGGCGCGGTACCGTCCATGTACCATTGATGTGACGGTGAGCTTGCACTTGCATTTCCTTCAGGACCAAATAGCTAGGACGACACGCGGAGGAGATTCACATGCAGTATGCACTGTACAGTGTATACTGCACTACCTACTGTATAGTGCACAGTACCTCGGGCTTGATGAATCCAGGCTCAAATTAGCCCTGTCCATCGGACGTGCGGACTCGCCGCAATACAACGATACTATCTACTATCCACTATTTATATTCCATACCACTTCGGAGATTTCAGCCTTTAAGATACTGATACTTTCTGTCGGTGCATGTTGTGCTTCATACTTCGTCATCGATTTAATGGTAGGGAGTAGAGACGGCGTCCGTCTGTGTTTGTCATTCACTTGGGTTCTTGAGTATAGTATAATATATCATTTTAGTGTGGGTACAAAGGGCTTTTCTGGCGCTCTGCTATTGTTTTATTCGTTTTTTTTTTTTGGATTGGGAGTTAGAGCTGTTCTAATGAGGCAAGGCAAATGACTACTATTATGTGGGAGGAGGGCGGAATTGTAAACGTCGGATCATTTGGAAGGTCTACCTTATGTAATTGATACAAGGCTGCAGGTGGGTAGATGCGAAAGAAAGCTTCGTTGAGAAGGGTAAGGATGGGTACTTATATGGAACTGAGCATGTCGTGTATCGTGGATGTCAATGATTTATGTACAGGAATGATAATGCTTTCGTATTCGGGAGTATCAATCAGAAGATTGGTTGCTTTGATCTTCATATGGAGTCATCGTTTGCGCAACACCTTTTCGCAAGTCGTGTCCATCCTCGTTCATAACAACGTGAGTGAGGGCGCTGGGCGATACAAATCGCCAGTACAAGCGTGGCTACTTCGATATCGACGCCCTGATCTGCTGTTCCTAGGTCTACTTCTGTCTGTTACGCGCTATCAGTGACTTACCCATGAGTCGTCCATATAACACATCGGTTCTTTCAGTCCGCCGAAGCCTTTCCCCATCTACAAACCCACCGTTTTGAAGCAAGAAAACTTCTCAACGTGTGACAGGCCCATGATTCGAGTGCTGTCATGACCAATTCTTCACACGACTCTTCCGTCTCCAAACTAAGGAGTGAAAATTTTTCACCACTCTCAAGTGTCAGCGGCAGATTGTGCCGATGCGGTAGCTCACGGACAGATCGGGTAACTTGGGCATTTCTGAGGGACCTCTGTTGCCTGACAGTGGCAAAAAAATTTGCAACCTCTCGTGAGGGCATTCCCCCACAGTGGGTAGAAGATACATGCACGGCGGCCCAGGGGAGAAAGGTCCGGCTCTATTTTCCACAGAAAAGAGCACAAAGACATTCGTCTCGGCCGTACTGCATAGCGCATGCTGTATGGGTCATTTGGCGTGGGTCCGGTGTAGAGGTGTATCAGACTCGGGCAATGGCTTGACGATCTCCAGTACGGAATCGTCGAATCAAACCCCGAAGAGACTAACAGAAAATTGTCAATCTGAGGCAAAAGTTCAATTGGCATGTGGCAAGGGTTGAGAGAATAATAACGGTTTCGGTTACAGCTTATCGGGACGTGCCGGTGTATGTTGACGTGTCCTTTTTCTGAAACAGAATTCGGCAATCTCAAGTGTTGTATATTCGACAGGCATAGGAGCAAGGCCGGAGAAACAACCACCTTGCTGCCAATGCTTCCGATCTGACTCGGCCTGTCGCTTTGGCTGTCATATGTTGCAGAGTTCACTGGGGCGACACCCGGGGACAATTTCCGAGGATCCTGCAACGGCGGGCTTTTCCCCTTTGAGCAAAAGAGCAGCACTCGGCGGTCACATTGGGCTGCCACTGTGAGTCACGACAGGCTCCCAATTCTGTACAAAGATCGATCATGCACTTTCATGATCATTCCAATGATCTTCGGCCGATCAGCCACAACGCCCCTTCCTGTGGGCCTGGGGTGATTGCATTTCCGTTTGTCTCCTTGTCGTGCCATGGACTCAGGCGCCCTTGGGTAGTAGTACACTCGAGGCTTGTGCGGCGCGGCGTCGAAAGCAATTTGCTTCATCGACCCATTGCGTTCATTGGTCCCTGGGTTGGAGAGACATTGGCCGAGGAAGCCCATCGCAAGTCCAATGAAGTCGTTGGCAAAGTTACCTCCGAAGGTGGAGGACATCTTCTGTCCCACTGGAGGCGAGGATCAAAGCCCTCGATGTGGAGAAGATGATGAATCAATTTGAAAGTACCTTCCCGACTGGTGAATCGTGGCGCAAGTGGGTAGGATCAGAGTGTTTTTGCTTCGGAGAGTCATCGAAGGACGAAATTGGGTCACCGATTGTTCATGTTCCCTCAACAGTACCACCGGGACGGTACCTCCACTTTTTCACCTCCTTCTGTATCCTCCCGTCTTTGGTAAGACGGTCATCCTGGTCCTACTTTTGCAAGGTAGCCAATCAATCATTGTTGACGAAGAAAACAATGCGGACATCAGAGGTCCGAATCGGCGATGACAGGCATGAAAGGACTCATGATCGACCGGGTACGGCGGCTGTTCCAACTTTCCCTCGGCGCCCCCGATACGTAGCCGTATCGTCTTCCATATGCCATCAGCGGCTTGCGCATTGCCTTGGTCAGGTTGGTGTCCTTGACAGCATTGTCTGCGGTTGCATGATGCTCATCCACGCCGGTGGAATGGCAATGATTGGTTGATCGAGGTCAGGAACAAGACCGTCGGGTCACCTGTGGTGACGTCATGACATATCCATGATTTGGCCTTATGGCCTCAGGCACGCTTCACGCATGGCGACGCTCTCCGGCCGTCAGGCGGCAAAGACTCCGCGGGTGGCACCGACAGATTGGGCCGTGCTCGAACGTGCAGCTGGTTCATGTTGGCTCAGTAGTTCTGAGGACACTTACGGGCTCATCTCCTACCGCTTCTTCGGCGCAAAGTAGAGGAGGTACTGCGAAAGTGCGAATTGAAAAGACCCGGCCGTATGCATTGGAGCAAGCTCTTTAACTCCCGCCACCATGATACTTTGAGCGACGTGATTGGTCAGTTTGGAATGAGCTTGAGGTCTGATCGACAGGGCGTGAGAAAAGTCACTGTGGCTAGTGGTTGATATGTGGCTGCGAAGCCCCAAACGCCCCGTTGAGATGCGCATCTTGCCCCATGGTCGATGCTCTGAAGGGCGTCGACACCATGGGTGTACCTGCAAGTGCCTATTCCTCGAGTGGGCACATCAAGACTGCCCGTGTGCCGGAGTCGCTGAAGAAAAGGGTTCAGCAATCTTTCCGCTCCCGAAATGCCA